TTCAAGAAATCCCATTAAAGCTGAGCTCATTCAAGGAAAATTAATTTCGCCACGTCACTATCTTTCTAGAATAATTCACGAGTTATTCTACTCTACACCCAACGAAAAACAAACAAAAAACAGAAATCAAATCGCAAACAAGAGGTGCATTGACATAAAATAGCCTCACTTGCAATAATCATGCTACTTCAAGAATTCAATTCGATAACATGGTCATGATATAGTCACTTATCATACGAAAATGACAAATTTAACAGGCATTATACGATAATCAAGTAAAATTCACTCCGACGAGTTGACATGCTTGTACAAAATAGCAAGGTAAATCGAACATCTAGCGAAATAAATTTAAGTCAGGCTATTCACAAATTTATAGTTCATCAAAATCGAGTGAACATTCAGATTATGATCATCTTTTCACGTATAATCACACCTTTGAGATTTAATCTAGAAAGTATCAGCGGGCACAATAGTTTGGCTTGGTAATCGAGCTACAAATATCTAACTCTAATAAACATATATCTAAATGTCCGCAGAATCCAATTTTCAGAAAAAAAAATCATAAATTGCCTTAAAGGGAATTCAATTTCTAACCCCATGCTTACAAGCAATAAAGATCCAACCCTAAAATGGGTTGAGAATCATTCTCGTAGGGTAAATTCATTTATTCGCCTAATGCGAGTTCATTATACCATTAATATGCTCATGACATAAAAACTTGCACGCATATATATGATATCAACAAATCATAATATTCATTAACTCGTACGCCATAGAAAAGACATCATAAATTTCGAAAACTTCCCTGTTATGCGATTGCAATCTGATGTGCTGGGTGTATGGATGCCAAAGTATCCAGCCAAGAGTTTGCTCTTTGGGACCTTTTATCGAATAGTTTCTCTACACTGAAGGCTTCCATTTCGGTCAACCAATTTTGGATTCTGAACCTCCGTGCATCATGTAGCTACCCATCAGGTAATCAATCGTTGAGCTCGTTTTGAAGAATACCGTCGGCCCCAGCCTCAAGAAAACACCGGGCGACGGCGGAGGTGTATTGACCGAAGACTTGAGACGGATGCGCAAAGCTTCAAGGGGTTAGTAAAATACGGTGCCGAGAAGGCCCACGAGTAACACGACAGCGTGACTCGACCATGAATAGGTGGCCCATGAGTCGAAGAGGAGGGTTACATGGCCTCCCAGTAAGAGACACATATATTATCGTCTTCTGTTTCTAGAGAAATGAAATGAGGGAAATATTGAAGAATGGAAGAACGAAAAAGATGCTTCTTTCCAAACTTAGTAAATCAGAGGAACAATTAGGAACACCATTGCTGGGAACTGAGTCCGACAATCTCACGAACAAGATAATAAGAATCTGTGTAATTAACTTTGCCCTATGTACTCAATAATACGTATTCCAAAGCAGAGCCAGAAATTCTAAAAATCCAAGGCTCCGGATTTTGAGCTGGGGAGAAATTATATACACACATGTATCTTTACAATTTCGGAGAGCTCCATGTTCTGTATCTAATAAATTCATCAAACGAGACCAAGACCGGTAACCAGATGATGAACTAACGCACAAGAACCTCTGATATTTGTATATAATTGGAAATCAACGTCTTACAACTCGATTTCCCACAGACGGCGCCAATTGATTCGGTTGGGTTTTTCCGCTTCAAGGAATCTCGAATCTTCGAGTCCGTTCCGTGTTAGGCCTGTTCGTCACGAACCTGCAAAAGGGACCGGGAGAGGTGCTCCCGGCGTTAGCACTCCGACGCCCAAGTTAGAACACCTCAAAGATTCAGAGATAAATATATTCGAGAGAAAATGGTGTGTTGAGATTCAGAATGCTTACCTTGAGGGTGATGAACCCTCTATTTATAGAAGAGTATTTTCGGATGTCATTCATTTTATCCAATTCGGTTAATAGAGTCGTTTGATGTCCATGGAACTTTATGAGTCTTAGTGGTTAAGTTATGAAGATATTTAATTTATATGCCTTAGTGTTTAAGTCATGAGGTGGCACCTTCAGCTCGTCGCTTGCCGCTCGACATTCGGCACTCGTCGTTCGGCGCTCGACACTCGTCACTCGGTGCTCGTCGGCTCGTCGCTCGGCGCTCGACACTCGTCACTCGGTGCTCGTCGGGTCGTCGCTCGGGGCTCGGCACTCGTCACTCGGTGCTCGTCGGCTCGTCGCTCGGGGCTCGGCACTCGGCACTTGGCACTCGTGAGCTATCTTTAGCTCGTTTTAGAGGTCTCCAGCTCGTCGAAGAACTCTCAATTCTCCAGCTCGTCGTCGGTCTCCTTGTTCGTCTCTACTGACAATGTATTATATTCTTTGAGCATACACTTGTGGGCTCAATGTTTTGGGCCTTTTATAAAGATCCGATGAAATGGGCAAATAAGCCCAGATCCCATGTGGTCTTATCTCCTCCTGGAGTGTGGGCCATCTCGATTGGGCCTTGCTTTATTGGGCTCTACAAATCTGTCCGGATCAATAAAGCATACGAAAACAATTAATAGACCCAAAAAAATTAACCTTACTTGTGTAATTTGTTGGGTGAATGTGATGAGTGTGATGGAAATGGTCGAGGTTTTATAACTTGTGTTGAATTTGGTAAAAAAAGGTAACAATGAATAATTGGTTTTATAGGATATCAATATGAAGTTTTGAATAAATAGGATGAAGAAAATGAGTGAAGCCAATATGACATTATATAGTTTGTTTGAATATGTTGTATAAGGAAAACAAATCATTTAATTAAGAAAGATTTTGTAACACTAATTGTGCAATTTTAATTATAAAAATTCAAACGATTTGGACAATCTAAATAATTAAGGACAATATAAATGGAAAAAATGGAAAGAAATCATTATACCTCATTTGTAGGGGAATTAATTCAAATTACCGCTAATTGAAAAATCAAAAGGTATGTAAATATGATAATGTTAATAATTGATTATATATCATTTGGATTCAAATTAATTCAAATTAATTGCATACATTAATTTATATGGTATATAAATATGCAATTGTATTTATATACCTTATATGCAATTAATTTATGTGATGAAAATGTTAGTAGTTTATTATATAAGGTATGTAGATATAATCTTTAGTTAATTATTTATAAGCAATGAAACTTATAGAATAAATAATTCAAAATAAGATTATTGTGCATGGGATGGTGTAAAAGGAAAACGAACCAAAGTCAAATAAAGAAAATAAATGGGGTCAAAATGGAAGATGATATTTTTTATTGTGAATTTTCTCATTATTGATTATGTAGATAGATTAGATTTTTTTAATACGTAATAAATATACTTGTTACAAAACAATATAATTAAATAAGGATTCTATTACGATGTATAGTTTTTCCATTAAAATAAGCATTTTATTTTTTCCATTAAAATAAGTATTATATTAAAATTTGCAAAGTAATATAATTAAATAAATAAAATAATAATTAAATAAAATTTGCATACTAAATTGAATTTAATAATATGTATATTTAAGTAAGTATTAAATTTACTATTTTAATTACGATGTTTTCCATTAATTTAAATTATTTTAATAACAACATTCTCCATATATTTTAATCACATATGTTAAAATAATTTAAATTAATGAAAAATAATAATTAAATAAAACTTGCATAATAAATTGAATTTAATAATATTTATATTTAAGTAAGTATTAAATTTACGACGTTTCCATTAATATAAATTATTTTAATAACAATTGGTATTTTAAAAATATTTTTCATGGTTGGCAAAAAATACAAAAAACATGAAATTCCTAAAATGGATGAATTGTTTCATAATTTAAAATAAAGTTTAATGACATTCTATATATTAAAACAATGTTTTATAGTGATAAATTGGAATGCAATAATAATTATGGAAAGAAGTCCACAAATAAAAGAGATGAAAAAATTTGGGATCAAAATTGAAGATGTTAAAACTTCAATTGTGTATTCTCCCTTTATATATTATATAGATTAGCAATTTAATTAGCTACGCTTCCATTTCGGCGTGACCATATAAAATGTTGAGTAATATAATTAATTTTTAACTCAAAGTCTAAGTACAAGTCAGCATCACCATTTATTTACATATAATATAGGAAGCCGTAATATTCTTTTATTGTTTTTTTTTTAAATTAAGTTAGAAAACCGCAAGATACTCTTCCTTTCTTTATTATTTGTCAATAAATAAATGTATAGATACAGTTGAGCAAACTAGTGAGCTCGGTGAATCGGCTAGAACTCAAAATTTTTAGGTCGAACTCGAGCTTTCTGATGAGTTGCGTCCGAACTCATTTTTAGTAGTTCGTTAGTTTGCGAGACGGTCCGTGAGTTTTTTTTAATTTTTAAATACAGTTAATATAAAAATAAATAATAAATTCACAAGTATTTAAAGAATGCTGTCATTTTTTGATATTATAATTTATAATAGTATTGATAAAATAAGAAAAAAAACGAGTTCAAGCTTGTCAAGCTCGAGCTTGAGTAAAAAAAAAAAAAACTCAAGGAGTTCGAATTCGTCAAAATGGATTCGAGCTCGCCAAAAAAGTCAAGTTCGACTCATTTACACCTCTAATTGCGATAATGGCAAATGAGGCATCTTTGTTACCACCAAAGGAAAGCAAATTCCCTTAATTAAAAAAATAATTAATAATTAAAAAAAAAGCAAGCAAATATTCTCAGCCCTACGATTGTGATCTCAATTAATGGATCCACCCTAATTACAGTACGACCCGCCCCACTTGAGTAAAACTTCCATTCGTGCAAGTGTATTTCAATAATCACCATCATTAGTTAATTAAATTTCTTTTAACCTTATTACAGCCAATAAAACAACTAATTATTCTATATATGATTAATTTAACCTTTTAAAAAAGAAATCTTATTACAGCAAATATACATACAATATATATATATATATATATATATATATATATATATATATATATAAATAAATATAATAATAAAAAGGGGAAAAAGAAAGGCTCCGGTGCTTAGCATCGAGCGTCATCATCTCCTCAACCAGGATTGGAGGAGACCATCGACTCACATACACGTCACCCACACTGAATCAATTCTCTTCGCAAAATTATTTTCAATTTTTTTTATTCTCTTTTCCCGTTTTCGCCTTCTATCTTTTTCGAGAAACCTTCGCAGTTTCTGGATTTTGCTTCCGCGCGGCGTCGTTTTATCACCGTGTAGGTATATCTACCATTTCGGCATTTGTTGGGAGTGTAAATGGAGAATTCATTGCTTTTGAAATTGATTGGGTTCTGTGATTAATTGCAAATAATTGGGTTTATTTATTTATTTATTTATGTTGATATTTATTTTATTGACCACGAATTCCACAGATCTGTATTGGGGAGAACTGCTGCGCGTTTACGGTGTTTAATTTTGTAATTGTGGGGGAATTGCTGGGTTGATTGTAAAGATTTGGGCTTTAGGGTATGGCGTTCAGTAATTTCTTTTGTTGGGGGGTTTGGGTACTTTTGATGAATTAGTTCATACATGATTTTTAGTTCGTGATTGGTTCTCACTTGCTTTTTATTGTTTAATTTGAACTGCTAATGTTCATGGAAGGAGATTTAGAAAGAAAAAAAACCGTTTAGTATATCGAATATGACATTTGATTTATTATAGCTCGTCTTTGCTTTTGCTACTGAATGTTTTTTTCGCCATCTACTGGATGTTGTGTTGGTTCTTTTCGATAAGCCGCAAAGGCCAAACTGATGGGCATCAAATTAATACATCCGACGTGTTTTTTAAAATTGTTATTGAAGCTCATTATTTGATAATATCAATGTTAACTTACATACCGATGTTTAATAATTTTGAGAGGTGATTTATTCTTTAAAGTCAAATTTACAGTTCTTTATGTAAACACTGCTTTAATTATCTCAATTTCATATGTATTTAGGATTATGGATGGATCGATCCAAGATGGCAGCAGTGTGGATTCGTTCTTAAGAAACTACAAGCTTGGGAAGACACTTGGGATTGGTTCATTTGGAAAAGTGAAAATTGCTGAACATACATTGACAGGGCACAAAGTTGCTGTCAAGATCCTTAACCGAAAGAAAATAAAGAATATGGATATGGAAGAGAAAGGTTGGTCAAAGCTATATGCAATTTATGTTTATTTACCTTACGTACTTCCAATCTTGAAGCCTCATAGTATATAGTCTATAACTTAGTAATGTCTTTCTTCTGTTCTTTATTATTTCATGCTTTTCGTGTTATAGTCAAAATAGCATTATGCAACAATCCAAAACTGAAACTATTGTCTATTTCCCTTCTCTTGTAATACATTATTATTTTTCTGTTAATAGTGCTGTCTATTATCCATGATTTACATACAATTCATGATATAATACCTATCCTGGTTTCGTCAGTTGTGCTAGACCTGCGTAGTTTTTCTTGGTTAAAGACCCGGGATCCCAAATGTATCATTAGTTATAGCTTTATTTCATTTAATGTGACTTCATGCAATGGCATCTAATTGTCCTCGTAGGCAAATTAGTACAAATTGCCACGTTTGTTATTGTTAACGCAAAGTTAAATAGATCAAGCTTAGCTAGTACTTAGTAGACTTTGCTGAATTTATGTGTTGCTTCTTGCAGTGAGAAGAGAGATTAAGATTTTGAGGTTGTTTATGCATCCCCACATTATACGTCTGTATGAGGTTGTGGAGACGCAGTCCGACATATATGTTGTGATGGAATATGTGAAATCTGGTGAGTTGTTTGATTATATAGTTGAGAAAGGTAGGTTACAGGAGGAGGAAGCGCGCGTGTTCTTTCAACAGGTAGTGTATTTTTTTGTTATTATTATTATTTATTTTTTATTTTAGTGTGGAGTTCTCAAGCTGTTTCGGATGGTTGCAGATAATATCTGGAGTTGAGTACTGCCACAGGAATATGGTAGTTCATAGAGATCTAAAACCAGAGAACTTGCTTTTGGATTCTAAGCACAAAGTGAAGATTGCGGATTTTGGTTTGAGTAATATCATGCGCGATGGTCATTTTCTAAAGACGAGTTGTGGAAGCCCCAACTATGCCGCTCCAGAGGTTGTCTTTGAATTCAGTAGCTGTGTTCTTGGGCTATATATGTACATAGGATGATAGAAGAAATGAAACTGAGTCGATTTTCAAACTTTCAATTATGTAGGTTATATCTGGTAAGCTATACGCGGGGCCCGAAGTGGATGTATGGAGCTGTGGTGTTATTCTCTATGCACTTCTGTGCGGGACACTTCCGTTTGATGATGAAAACATTCCAAACCTGTTTAAAAAGATCAAGGTACAGCCGTATTTCATGTTTTTATGCCCATGTTTTACAAGTTTGGAATTACTTAAGCTTATTCGATTCAATTTATCTCTAGGGTGGAATTTATACACTTCCCAGCCATTTATCTGCTTCAGCAAGAGATTTGATTCCGAGAATGCTTATAGTTGATCCTATGAAGCGAATGACTATTCCGGAAATCCGTGCACACCCGTGGTTCCAAGCTCATCTGCCACGTTATTTAGCTGTTCCACCGCCAGATACAACCCAACAAGCTAAAAAGGTTCGTCGAACCTGGACATGCAATATCTAGATGCTCATATTTGACATAACTTCCATGCCCTTGAGCAAGTAAAACCTCGTTTTTATTGTTCAAGAATTTTATCATGTGCAGATCGACGAAGAGATTCTTCAGGAAGTGCTGAAGATGGGATTTGACAGGTCTGCCCTTGTCGATTCTCTTCGGAACAGGGTTCAAAATGAGGTACACATTTCGTTACCGTGTGACTCATGTTATAGTTATATTGAAAATGTTCTTATCTCGTTACTGTTTTTAGGGTACTGTTACATACTATCTGCTGCTAGACAATCGATTTCGCGTTTCGAATGGCTACCTTGGGGCTGAGTTTCAGGAGACTGTGGTATGCTTTTTGTTTCATTTTTAACAAATAAATCTGTGCATTTAAAAAAAAATTATAAACGTAGAGCAAGCTTTCACTCTTAAGTGTTTCTTTGAACCACAGGATTTTGGTTATAATCGGATGAATCCAAGTGAGGGAATATCATCTCCTGTTGGTCAACGTTTTCCTGGAGTCGTTGACTACCAACAGTATGGAGGAAGGCAGTTTCCCGTGGATAGGAAATGGGCTCTTGGTCTCCAGGTTAGTTGGCTGCTCTTTAATGATCCATTTACGGAGGTTGAATTAAATATGCGCATTTAAATATTTGGAAATTAATAATGTCTTCATTTATTGTACAATCAATTTAAGAAATTTAAACCAATATATGAAAAAATGAATTATTCAGTGTGCAAAATTGGGGTTCAAAATAAATTAAATGTATGTACACGTTTACGATAATATTTCCATTTTGGCTTTTGTGACAGTCACGAGCCCATCCTCGTGAGATAATGACGGAAGTTCTCAAAGCTCTGCAAGAATTGAATGTCTACTGGAAAAAAATCGGGCACTACAACATGAAATGCAGATGGACACCTGGCAGTCCTGGTCAGCACGAAGGAATGCTCATGAATACTATGCACGACAAAAATTATTTCGGAGATGAATCTGCTATTATCGAGAATGATGGCAGTATTAGGTCCCAAAACGTGGTGAAGTTTGAAGTGCAGGTAATTAATTAATCAATCCTGATATATATGCGTTCATTTAAATTTGTAAAATTCTAACAATACAATATTTGCTAAAAAAGATTGTTGGTTGAATTTTTGTTTTCAGCTTTACAAAACACGCGACGACAAATATTTGCTTGATCTGCAGAGAGTTCAGGGCCCACAGTTTCTGTTTCTTGATCTTTGCGCTGCATTCCTTGCTCAGCTTCGTGTACTCTGAATTAATAATAATTATTAGAGTGTGGAAGAAAGAAGTTAAATGCTGTATATAATTAATTAATTATTGTCAGCTGAGAGCCAAGGCTTCCTCCTCAGAGATGAATGTCGGGCCAAGCCGATAATTTTGTTTACTCAGCTCGGAGCTGTGGCTTCTGCAACGAGATTTCACTTCTCATTTCATCACTGTAGCTTTTTCTTTTTTCTTCTTTTTCTTTTTCTTTTCCATGTCACGAATTTGTTTGACCTTTTATTAATTCAAATAGTTAATTTTCATAATTAATCGAAAAGAAATTGTGTAGCTTGATGCTGCTAAATGCTAATCCTCTCCGGCTGCTTTTTTTTTTTTTTTTTTCTTTTTCTTCCTTTGTTGTAGAATTTGTTTTGTATTTCGAGTTAGTTAATTATATTTATTTTATTTTGTTCTTGAGGTAATTCTTGTGGTAGGTGGGAATTTATGATCGTAAATTGAATTTATGGTCGTAATTGTTAGATAAATGGATTGCGCTTTCAGCTCCCTGAAATGATAAACGCAGGACGACTTTTAATAAAATATTTTTTAATTTTAATCTTTTCATACGATATTCTCCCAAAATATTGTCGTTAACTCCAACTCGTCATGTATTTATCACCCATGTTGGCGTGGGCTCGATTGGTTTAGTGACTGGGATATGACAAGCATAGCAGCATGGGGAGAAAGTCTTGTATTAATAATTGAAAATGGCTGTATCCTGGCCACTGTATGGTACTGCATCCCATGAATTTTACGTCGGTGAAATAAATCGAATCGGACTCCACATTATTATTATTGACCATTTCGTCCTTTTCAACTCGAACCCATTGCCAGTAGAAATGATGAGAAAACGACGACGTAACCTAATTTCATAAACCCAAAGTTTTAAAATACCTTTCCAGATTTCGGGTTCTGCCCAGTTACACTTTCAATCTTACACAAAACTATAATAGTAATATATATAGTAACAACAAATAAAAAAGTTACCAATTATATAAAACCGACAGACAATCAGTTAATAATTATCGGCACCACGCAGAAGAGGAGAGGTGCTGCTGCTGCTGTTGCTGCTGCTTTCACCGGCTTCAGAATATCTGACTGGTTTCATTGACGGATCTTTATACGCACTCTCTAGTTTACGGTAGAATGAAGAAATAACCGGATCGCTTATATCGACTCTATCCTTATTTATCAAGCACTGCATGCATCGTAATATTCGGAAATGATTAAATTATCCCATACTAAATCAGAAATTAAATAATTATGCCTTGTTTTGATGTTAAATTTACCTCAGCTGGATAGCCTTTGAAGCTAGGTAGGAATCTTCTCCGGCAGTAACTGTTGAATATGAGAGTGATAATTGGAAGAGGAACTGTTAAGCTTGAAGCTAACGGAACTTTCTTCAGACCGAATATCCCAACTGCAATAATATGCATCAGTATTAACGAAAATATTGTTGCGTCGTGCACTACAGGCCAAAACTTTCCACCCGTTTCAAACTTGGGTTCGTAAACATTTAATAGCTGTTCCAGAAAAAAAAATTAAAAATTAGTTAGCTATATATATAGCTACATAATTTAAAAAAAGGAAGAACAGGCATGAGAAGAATTAGTGCTGACCTGATTACGGTAGATGATATACCCGAAGCAGTAGTAAATCAAGAGGAAAGGCAAAATTAGGGGTGCGAGGAAGAAGTATGTTATTCCAAGAAGGCTGAAAAACAGAATCCTCGGAATCTCACTGTGATAAGGATTTGAAGGGACCTTGGTTTCGTGGTCATATTTACAGCACAAATTTCCTTTGAAATGTCTCCAAATTAGGCGCTTAAGTCGAAACAGCTCTGAAGAGAATGTTTTGGTCCATCCAGAAGTTACAACATATGCAATGAAAAACGAAGCCTGAAAAAAGAAAAGAAAAAATGGGAATTACGAGAATATTAGAGTATGAGAAACTAAAAATGTCGAAATTAAAATACCTGTGCAGGAACAGCCACAGCTAATAGCTCAGGGATTCTTTTGGGCTCGAAAAGGACATCGAATCTGTATAATGCTGTTCCTGATAGTACATTTGCAAAGAATATGTTCCATATAGTGAACCACAGGACTTTTATGCACGCGCTTTTCTCGATCTGACTAAGCGCGATGTATCCTTGTATGGAGGAAAGCACAATCATGACAGGTGGCACTAAAGACAAAAACGAGTCAAGGATGAGACTCGGAAGATATCCTGTGATTACTTGGCTGATAATTTTCCTGCATTGCATGTAAGAAAGACTATTTGTTAATACTGTTAAAAGAAAATGGCATAAGGTGTCCACTGTTTTCGTAACTTACACTTTTAATACGCCGGTCAAAAAGGGTAGCAAGATTTCTAACTGGTCCAAATGCGTAAGACCTTGTACTAAGAGAACAGGTACGAGGAATAAAATAGTTATGGAAATACATGCGAAAATAACAGCAATGTTGCAAATCCATATCTTGACGAACGAGGCGGAAAAGAAGGGCCAATAAACATCCTGTGGATCAGGAGCTTGCTCAGTAAGCCATTTGGTTGGTTTAACTCCTTGTTGAAGATGTGCAGCTACTGCAGCACTAAGCCGAGTCTTGAAAGATACAAAAGCAGCCGGAACTTCCTGTAATAAAAATCGAACGCCATAGCATCAGACAGTGAATAAGAAATCAGAAAAAAAACACTGTTATCGTGTTCCAAAATGATTTAATCAATAAGAACCCGAAAAAATAAAATCAATTTATTGCATCTTTAGATGAACTAGCCATGATTAATGACGGAGATTGTTACCTTTCCAATAGCTGAAGTTCGTTCTGTTCTTACATTACCTTCAATATCTTCCAGTTTCTTTTCATAGTGATCTAGGAGATCAACTTTTTTTCTGAAAAGGCCCATAAAACAAGTTCGTTTGGAACTCTGTTCAGAATCCTTTTTCGATTTCAAGTGAACAAGTTTTTTGTAAGCCTTGTCTGCGTCATTCTAGAAATAGCATCAGACACGTCTCAGAAACCAAGCAATATAAAGCTAAACAAAAGGAGTTATACTACATAAAAGAATCAATATGGACATCCACAATTAATTATCTATAGTTTCCAATTAGATACAGAAGCTTAATGAGTGTACATACACAGAATGAGCAATTGAACGAACAAATGATGTGTAAAGAGAATTAAAAAAATTGCCATTAATGGAGGAAGTATATGTTTTTGTAAATAAAAGACAAATCAATATATAATCTTCAACAATACAGTAAATTAATATGTTAGATTCAAGATTTGCTCACAATGAGTCCCTTGAGTTTGTTTGTCCGACGAACCACAGCATGTGAAAGATAGGTAGATGGATAATATTCACTGAAAAAGGTTTCAACACTTTCACTGAAGCTCCTGTCAGGAGAGGCTGGAATACTCCGAACTAAAATAGTGAATTGACTTGGCCGTGGTTTCGAAGAATAGAAGTAAGCAATCCGTTTGGATGCGATATAGTCATATTCCTGCAGCGTAAAAGAATAAATTAGGATCCATTAACTTTTCTACCTACAATCATGAAAAATCGAAGGGCTGTAGAATACTTACATAGTAAAGAAGATAGCAAACAACAGCTGTGAAGATATAAATGGCAGAGAAGTGTATCCATAACCTATGAGCACACAAAATGAAGTATGTCAAATTTAGAGCTAAAGACAGAAAATTCAACTAGAACTCACCAAAAAAAAAAAAAAAAAAAAAAAAAAACTTCCCAAGCAAAATTACTTGGATGGATTGATTTATTTTATTTTATTTTGTTTTTCAATATATTCAGAAAGATGGAAAGGTATACAGACTTTAAAAATGCAGAGAATATCATTTTCGCCTATTAGATACATCCACAGTTCATCCTAATTGAGTTTATTAGAATAAATCAGTAACCTGTTTGACCCATCGTCAACATTCGAGATGCTGAATGTTTCCAATGACTTGTTTGGAAGGTCGGTGAAGTCAATATTTAGCTGATTCCCCATATAATTGAATGGAAGAAGAATGAAAATTCCAACAATCACTGCGAATCTAAATACTCTCAGTCTGCAAATCAAGAAAGAAAACGAGTAAGTTGAGCTGGCTAATCCTCAATTCAAACAAAATGTTTCAAATTATTGTGCTATAAACATTAACAGCTATAAACATGAAAATTCACACGTTATGTAGATTGCAAAACCTATAATAATTCCCATTTTTTCACTAACCCGAAGATGAAAATACGCATGAATACAACGGCATCCAATCCAGAAATTGACAAAAGCTCGTCTTCAGTTGGCTGCCATGCTCTTTTCACCCACCGGAAACAAGACAGTAAGCCTCCCCTTCCGACTTCATCTTCCTCTTCAAGTTTCCCATTAGCAACCAAGCGTGGTAAATAAAGTTCCGCATTGCTCGGTCGATTTCTCAGTATAGAATACGAGACGAAAAAGACTAGACAAAGGGCAACATTTATTCCCACCGAAGTTAAAAGTGCAGAAAGAATCATCCCTTCAAACTTTCAAAGTGATTTTCTTCAAACTTTTTTCACCAGCTCATCTCCAACTGTAAAATATCATGTAGCTATACAATAAGCATAGAACTGGCCAAAATTCTAACATAAGTAAAGCCCATAACTTCAGCAAAGTTTCAATTTTAAAAAAAAAAAAAAAAAAAAAAAAACCCAACTCTTTTTCCCCCTTTATACAATTTCAGGTCAAAGTTTTTGCTTCCACAATTCACTAACAAAGGTAGCTCGATTACTACCAAATCAACGAATCCGATGATGCAATTGCAACAAGTAGTGGCAAAATCAGCGAATTATTGAGTTGCGTGTAGCTGAATTAGTTTATCGCAATTAAAAAAAAAAAAAAAAAAGTGTAGCACGTGCTGCCACCATTAATGTAAAATGATGTCGGCATAGATATTGATGGAAGGAGATTTGACTTGAAAAAAAAAAAAAAAAAAAAAACCTAATCTAGAAACAGTAATATTGAGAAGAGAAGAAGCTTTGAAAAATGAAAAATGAAGTTAACTGGAGGGAAACAAAATAAATTGAAATCAAACCTTTTTTTTTTGTGTGCAGAAGATTGGGAAGTTGAAGACGACAAGTTCCGCTGAACTGTTTAACAACTATACATAAATAGGTGGGTAGGTACACGATTTCCATTTCCCGTTTTAGTGTCGTGTTTGGTAAGATAATTAGAATATTCTTTTTTTTTTTTCAGATCGCGTTTGCAAAACTTATTTAAAAGAAGCCCAGCTTTTTTTGCTCATAATTTATTTGAAGTGTTTGCAAAATGAACTTTTGTTTTTGCTTCTCTTAAAATAAGCAATTTAAAGCTGTAATTTGTTAAGCACCCATGACCCCTGATTTTTCTATTTAAGTTTATTTTCCACTAAATATGCAAACAGCCCCACTTTTAGAAATAAACACTTAAAATCAATTTAATTCATAATCCATAACTTATACTTTTAAATAAGTTTTTGCAAACACCACCATATAGAAGAAGCCAAAAGAGATTCCACCTAAGAGATTGTTTAGTTAAACTTATAGGGGATGTTTGGTTATGTTTCCAAAACGAATTTCTAGTTTTCAAAATTTCTGATGGAAAAAGTAGATTATTGGTTTTTGTGTAGAAAATGGGAATATGTTTGGATGAAGGTGTATTTTTAGTTTTATGTAGGTGTAGAAATGAGAATATGTTTGGTTGTGGTGAATTTTCTCTACGAAAGTAAGTGCAAAAGTAGAATATAATGATTGATGATGATGATAGTGATGATGATGATGATTATAATATTAATAATAATAATAATAATAATAATAATAATAATAATAATAATAATAATAATAATAATATTATTATTATTATTATTATTATTATTATTCTTATTATTATTGTTGTTGTTGTTTATATTCTTATATTATTATAATTATTATAATAATTATTATTTTATTATTTATTAGTATTATTATTATTATTATTATTATTATTATTATTATTATTATTATTATTATTATTATTATTATTATTATTATTATTATTATTATTATTATTATTATTATTATTATTATTATTATTATTATCATTATTTTTATTATTATCATTATTATTATTATTATTATTATTATTATTATTATTATTATTATTATTATTATTATTATTATTATTATTATTATTATTATTTTATTTTTAGTAGTAGATAGAGAAATTGTGAGGAAAAAGAGTGTAGATATTAATGTGGAGAGAGGAGAGAGAGTGTGAATATTAATGAGGAGAGAGAAATGAGTTGTTGGAATAAAATATATAGGTTAGTAGTAGGTTTTAGTAGGTTTGAAAATTGAAAAAAGTATGAATAGTGTATTTTCAATAGAAATTTGATAAGAAAAAATGGGAATTTCTGGATAAAATTGTGAAACAAACATCATCTCGGTTTTATGAATAGTATAAAACTGGAAAGTGAGCTTGGAAATGAAACCAAACATCCCCATAAGCTCCTGAAAACAACTTTTATAAAATGTTAAAGAACTTATAAGTTGTTAAAAGATGTCAGTAATTTTTTTACGAAAGCTCATATATTTTACCGTGAATTGTGAATGATTTATCGTGCTTCTTCGACAATACAAATTACTATTACCTTTTTTTAAGGGTGCATAATGAGATTAAGCCTTACTAAATTAGTCATTAAATAACGTATTATATTTTGACCAACATATGGGCTTCCTTATAGGACCTTTCTTTATCGGGCCATTAGTGCAATATAAAAGAAGAGAGAGAAAAGCCCATAACTAAAAGCGAAGCTGAAAACGCTATTTGCCTCTAATCTTACAGCACATGCAAAAACGCGTTTCCAAAAAAACCCGAGATCTGCAGCGCGTCGATTTTAACATTTTGACCCAAACAAAATATTTTTATTTTATTTTTTTAATATTTGCCAAAAAACTGTCGCCCCTGTCACCGCTGGTAGCAGGCGACGACCCCGTGCGGAGGAAGAAAACACACACACACACATTCAAACTCGTCGCTTCTGATCCAACTGGTAACTTTATCTCTCTATCTTTCTCTCTCTCTACGTTTCCTATCGATGCGGTTTTGTCAAATTCGCGTACTATTTTCTGAACTATTTGCAGAACAATAGACGCTTTCACTTTCAATTGTTATTGTGATTTTTGATTTATCTGGATGCGGATGTGGCAGATCTTGCTTTGAATGTTGGAATTTTCTGCTGTTAGTTTAGATCTGCGTGCTTCAGAGTTTTTGCCTTTTTATATCCATGCGCGGATTTTTCGTGGATGGAAATGTAGTTAGGCACTATGGTACGATTTCGTGAATTTCGACCTGTAATTGGATAATCAGCTCTAAAATTTGCATTTATCTATTGTTAGTTGATCAAGCTGGCTCAATTTTGTGTGATTTAGTTTCTTGGATGCTACAATTGTGTCGATCTTTGTTTATCGATTGATCTCTGAATCACTGATTGCACTTAAGAATGGAGATTAGTGTAGGACACTATACTGATCATTATTGCATTTAGATTAGCTAGCACACAAATTAATCGTTAGATCTTAGCACACAAAAGTAGGATCGTATTGGACCAATCGGGTTCCATTATCTTCTGATGTTTTTCCCCCCCTAACTTGCACTTCTCTATTTTTGTGTTCCATCTGCAGCAAAATCTTGTAAAGTCAAGTTTATTGATTTCTGTTAATTTTGTGAATAAATTGTGAAGGGAAATACTTGGTCGGGCTGGAAGGCCTTCTCCATGCATATTATACACATAAGTTGATCAGCGTAGTAGCAAGGTTATTATGAGTTCGCTAAATCAGCTCAACGAAGTCAATGGGTTGGTTGACCGGGCTAACTGTTTGGTCAAGCCCCCTGGTGGAGCCTTGGCATGCATGGTGAATTCAGAAATAGGCGCAGTTTTGGCTGTAATGAGGAGAAATGTGAGATGGGGAGTTCAGTATGCTTCCGATGATGAGCAGATTGAGCATTCTCTAATAATGTCCTTCAAGGAACTCCGAAAGAATATATTTTCATGGCAAAACCATTGGCATACCATTGATCCAGTTTTGTACCTCCAGCCGTTTTTGGATATCATTAAATCTGATGAAACTGGTGCACCAATCACCGGCGTTGCTTTGTCGTCTGTTTACAAAATCTTAAATCTACAGATTCTTGATTCCGAGACTGTGAATGTAGATAATGCTTTACACCTTATTGTCGATGCTGTGACAAGCTGCCGTTTCGAGGTGACTGATCCTGCATCTGAAGAAGTTGTACTGATGAAGATTCTTCAAGTTCTCTTGGCATGCATGAAAAATAAAGCATCAATTAGTTTGAACAACCATCATGTATGTAGCATAGTGAACACTTGCTTTCGTATAGTTCATCAGGCCAGCTCTAAAAGTGAACTGCTGCAAAGGATATCTCGTCACACAATGCATGAACTTGTCAGGTGTATTTTTTCGCACCTTCCTGATTTGGATGATAAAAGTCATGAGTTGGCTCATGGAAGCAAGTCTTCTCCTAACACAGAGGTAACAAACTTATGTAGCATATTTAACCAGATTTTAGACCTGCAATATGCTTCTGCCACCTTTATAATGTTGGCTCCAAGTTCATAAACATGTTACTCTACTTTGCTTTTTTTTTTTTTTAAATAAATAATAAATCATCAAACCTTCGATAAATTATAGTGGGAGAATTAATATCCTTTAGTTTGGTCATCAAAAGAGTACTTTCAATAGCTATCTGTTGCCATTCCATTTTTCTATAACTTCAAGTATAGTATAGGGTGAAATGAGTTATGTTAAGTTATTCATGTGTGAAGGACTTATTTCATTGCAGGATAATGTGGCAGAACCAAGTCACACTCTACAGGATAAGCAATATGCCGATGGTTACACATCTGTAGAATCTGACAGTAAAAAAGATGATAGCACTCATGTGAAAGATGGCACCTCTAGTGCTGATTCTTCAATGATGGATCCTTATGGTGTTCCGTGTATGGTGGAAATATTCCATTTCTTGTGCTCTCTTCTAAATGTTATGGAAAACATAGAAGTAGGCCCCAGATCTAATCCAATAGCATACCATGAAGATGTTCCTCTATTTGCTCTGGGTTTGATTAATTCTGCAATAGAGTTAGGCGGGGCGTCTTTCGGAAATCATCCTAAATTATTAGCTCTGATACAAGATGAATTGTTTTACAACCTGATGCAGTTTGGTTTGTCTATGAGTCCACTAATTCTTTCGACAGTATGTAGCATAGTTCTCAATCTTTATCACCATCTCCGTACTAAATTAAAACTACAGCTCGAAGCTTTTATTTCTACCGTGTTGTTGAGGATTGCAGAGAGTAAGCATGGGGCTTCTTACCAACAGCAGGAGGTTGCTATGGAAGCTCTTATTGACTTCTGCAGGCAGCCAATGTTTGTCACCGAGTTGTACGCCAATTATGATTGTGATATATCCTGCAGCAATGTGTTTGAAGGCCTTGCCAACCTGTTATCGAGGAGTGCTTTTCCAGTAAACAGCCCTTTATCTGCAATGAACACACTTGCTTTGGACGGTCTGATTGTTTTGCTTCATGGTATGGCTGAAAGAGTAGGCCACGATTCATCGGGTCCAGGAGAAGCCTCCCTAGAACTTCAAGAATTTAAGCCATTTTGGACCCTGAGATGTCATGATTATGACGAACCCCTTCACTGGGTTCCTTTTGTTCATAATATGAAGAACTTAAAGAGAATGTTGATGACTGGTGTTGATCACTTTAACAGGGATCCCAAGAAGGGTCTAGAATTTCTTCAAGGATTACATCTTTTGCCTGACAAACTAGATCCAAGAAGTGTAGCATGCGTCTTTAGGTATACAATGGGATTGGATAAAAATCTTATTGGGGATTTTCTTGGAGGTCATGATGAATTTTCAGTACTAGTGCTTCATGAATTTGCTAGGACTTTCGATTTCCAGGACATGAATTTGGACACTGCTTTGCGGATTTTCTTGGAAACTTTCAGATTGCCCGGAGAGTCTCAGAAAATACAGAGAGTGGTTGAAGCATTTGCGGAGAGCTATTTTGAGCAATCCTCGGATATTTTGGTCAACAAAGATGCTGCTCTCTTGCTGTCATATTCTTTAATATTGCTCAACACTGATCAACACAACTCACAGGTCAAGAAGAAGATGAGCGAAGAAGATTTCATTCGGAACAATCGAAATATTAATGGTGGAAACGATCTTCCTCGAGATTTCTTGTCTGAGCTTTATCACTCCATCTCTGAAAATGAAATCCGTATGGTTCCAGATCAAGGTGGTGCCTCTGGGATTCTCACGAGAAGTCACTGGCTTGGTCTAACACACAAAGCAAAGCAGACATCTCCATACATTGTCTCTGATTCCGGTTCCCATCTTGATTACGACATGTTTGCTATTTTATCCGGTCCTGCAATTGCTGCAATATCTGTGGTTTTTGATCACGCAGAGCAGGATTATGTTCTACAGTCGTGCATTGATGGATATTTGGCCATAGCTAAACTCTCGGCTTCATATAATTTCGGCGAAGTACTGGATGATTTGGTTGTATCTCTTTGCAAATTTACTACCCTGTTGCATCCATCTTTCAACGAAAGATCAATTCTCTACTTCGGGGATGACATAAAAGCTAAGATGGCCACTATAGCAGTTTTCACCATTGCAAACCGCTACAGCGACCACATTCGTTCAGGCTGGAGAAACATACTGGACTGCATCTTGAGTCTACAGAAGATAGGCCTTCTTCCTGCTCGTCTTGCCAGTGATGCTACCGACGAGCTGGAGCCTCCTTCTTCTGATAATGATCAAGTGAAAACATCCGCTGCACATTCACCACCATCTCAGGTGCCGCCAGCAACTCCGGCAAGGAAATCATCCGGCATTATGAGCCGCTTTAGCCTGCTTTTATCTTACGATTCAGAGGAACCTGCACCACAACCCTCAGAAGAACAGCTGGCAGCTCGTCAGCGCACTCTGCAAGCAATACAAAACTGTCACATCGATACCATTTTCGCCGAGAGCAAGTTTCTGCAAGCTGATTCGTTATTACAGCTTGTCCGTGCCCTTGTCATGGCAGCAGGACGACCTCTCAAAGGGAATAATAACTCTCTGGAAGACGAAGAGACAGCTGTTTTCTGTCTGGAGTTGCTGATAGCGATCACTCTAAACAATCGGGATAGAATCATGCTTCTGTGGCAAAACGTTTACGAGTACATTGCAAACGTTGTTCAATCAACTGTAATGCCATCTACTCTTGTTGAGAAGGCTGTCTTTGGGCTCCTTCGTATATGCCAGAGGTTACTTCCTTACAAGGAAAACCTTACCGACGAGCTTCTCAAGTCTCTGCAGCTGGTATTGAAGCTCGACGCTCGGGTGGCAGATGCTTACTGTGAACAGATCACACAGGAGGTGATGCACCTTGTGAAAGGAAACGCAATGCAGATAAGATCTCATATGGGTTGGAGGACAATCATATCTTTACTCTCCATCACAGCTCGCCATCCGGAAGCTTCCGAAGCAGGGTTCGAGACTCTCTCTTACATCATGTCTGACGGGGCCCACCTGTCCCCCGCAAATTATGTGCTCTGTTCGAATGCCGCCAGGCAGTTCGCAGAGTCCCGTGTGGGGAATGTTGAACGATCCGTCAGATCCTTAGACCTGATGTCTGGTTCGGTTATTTGTCTGGTGACATGGTTTTACCAGACTAAGGAAGCTGCGGGCGAGGAAGCTGCAATAAAGATGTCTGAGGATATACTCGAAATGTGGATGAGGCTTGTGCAGGCACTGAGAAAAGTTTGCACAGATCACAGAGAAGAAGTCAGAAACCATGCTATTACTCTCTTACAGAGATGCTTGACGGGTGTGGATGGTATTCGAATACCAACTGATCTGTGGCTGCAGTGTTTCGATCTAGTGATATTCACTCTGCTCGATGAACTACCAGAAATGTCTAATCAGCTTTCCCCAAAGGACTACCGCTTCATCGAGGGCTCGATGATTTTGTCCATCAAACTCATGTCGAAAGTGTTTTTACAATCCTTACGCGATCTCTCCCGCTCGACTTCTTTCTGCCAATTATGGTTGAAAGTTCTTGGTTGTATGGAAAGATACATGAACATGAGATTTAGAGGGAGAAGGAGTGAGAAGATCCATGAGTTAGTTCCGGAGCTTCTCAAGAATACGTTGTTAGTGATGAAGACAAGTGGGATTCTTGTGCCGAGCGATCCAGTTGGAGGAGATAGCTTTTGGGAGTTAACTTGGTTGCACGTGCAAAAAATAGCCCCGTCTGTGCAGTTGGAAGTTTTCCCAGGTGAAGAGCTGGAGAAGTTGCAAGAAAATCGAGCTAAAAGTGGATGTAGCCCTCTATCCGAGGGGAATGTACTTGTTCCACCAAACGAAACCACGGCTTAAGAATATATACATACATATATATATGTATCAAAGATGATGAATTTATGCAGGGGAGAAGCATATGCCCTATTCTTCCACCTGCTGAGTGATATGGGCTTGTCTAACTTCTGGTCCGTGTTGATAAATCTGTACTGCATCTTCTTAACCAGAAACGATGGGGGATTTCTCGAGGAGGGCTTTAATTTGATTGCTCGGTTGTTTATGTTTCTGAGGATGGAGAGTTGGATTATTTATCTTTGATTTTTTTTTTCCTTTCTTTTTTGCAGGACTGTATTGCTAGAGCATAAAACTATATTATGTACCATAACACAGCGTTAAGTATACCGTTACATTGAACTTCAAAGCTGAAATAAGATAGGTGGTTCGATTTTACAGGCCGTTTTTTTTCCCAGGATTCTTCTATACTCAATTTGTAATTCATTTCTAGTTTTTCTGCAAATTTCATTTATGAGTTGATTTTGGAGTGTATACAGTGGAGATTTCTCGAGTTGTAATTCGCACTTATAGAAAATACCCGTCGCCTACTGTTGATTAGATCCTCCGTAACTCTACCGCCATAACAACAATCAAAGAAATACAAGTGTGGGTAATAATATCATGATTGTGTGTGATTGTGCATAGATCTACGGTTTAGATTCATCCAGTGTAAATAAGTAAATAATCAGGTGTAGCATCTAATTTCACAGGTAATATGGTAGCATTATTTTATTTATTTATTTATTTGAATGAAAATAATATTATGTTATTTTTGAATGAGAATACATTTCATTTGTGGTCAAATATTGATTTTCCTTATTTTGGAGGCCCTTATAAATAAATAAAAAGTCTTACTATTGGGGGTACGATCAGAAACTATAAAGTAGAGGTAATTGAAGGGGGCTTTCCGTCCAAATATTTACTTATGAGATGGCCAATTGTGAACACCACTCCATCTTCACTGGTTCGCCATTGCCGAGCAGTGATAAGATCTTGTGCTCGACACTCATCTCTCGATGCGGGCCAGAAGCTGCACGCCGCCTCCATCACTGCAAACCTTCTCGGCCTTCCAAAGTCTTTTCTCCGCAACGTTATTCTGCAGATGTACGCTGCCTGCGGCGATGTAGGGTCTGCGCGCAAACTGTTCGACGAAATTCCCGTTCCGGATAAAGATACGGTGGACTGGACGGCGCTTATGGATTGTCACGGCCGCTTCGGTTCGCCGATGGATGCTCTTAATTTATTTGTCATTATGCGAAGAGAAGGAGTTTCAGTCGACGAGATCACAGTGGTTTCCTTGTTCGGCACCTGCGCTAGGGTTGGAAACAGTGTGTTTGGAATTCAAGGGCACACCTGTATGATTAAATTGGGTTTGGATTTCTGCATCAAAGCTCGGAATGCTGCTATGGATATGTACGTGAAGTGCGGGCTGATGATCGATGCTAAGAGGTTGTTTGATGAAACAACGGTGAGAAATATTGTTTCTTGGACGGTGCTATTGTGGGGCGTGGTAAAATGGGAAGGACTGGTGAAAGGCAAGAAACTGTTTGATGAAATGCCTGAGAGAAATGAGATTGCTTGGACGATCATGATCTCGAGGTACGTCGAGAATGGGTTTAGCATGGAAGCTTTTCGCCTTCTGAGGGAAATGATTCTTGGTTCTGAGTTGCAACTAAATTCCACTTCCCTTTGCTCGTTGTTATCAGCTTGTACACAGTCGGGGGATGTTGTGATGGGCAAATGGGTGCACTCACATGCTCTAAGAGCAACAATAGACGCAACAACAAACATTAAATTCGAAACGGCTTTGCTCGATATGTACGCAAAATGTGGCAGGCTTAACAGTGCTCTTCAAGTATTTAAATCCATGCCTGCAAAAAACGTGGTCACATGGAATGCTATGCTCGGTGGATTAGCCATGCATGGAAAGGGTGCCATGGTTTTGGATATGTTCAAAGAGATGGTAGAAGAGATCAAACCAAACGACGTGACTTTCACAGCTGTCTTGAGTGCTTGCAGTCACTCTGGATTAGTTGACGAGGGTCGGAAACTGTTCTACAGCCTCGAAAATGTGTACAATATAAAGCCCTCGATGGAAAACTACGCGTGCATGGTGGATCTTTTGGGCAGGGCGGGACATTTAGAAGAAGCGGAGGCTGTAATAAAGAGAATGCCAATGAAACCAAACGAGGTTGTCTTGGGTTCTCTATTAGGAGCCTGCAAAGTTCACAGAATGCAAGAAATGAGCGAACGGGTTGTACGAGATTTGGTTCGATTGTATCCACACAACACTGAGCATCATGTTTTGCTCTCGAACATGTATGCTCTGTCGGGAAAATCGGAAAAGGCTGATTCTTTCCGAAAGGATCTTAGAGACAGGGGAATCCGGAAAATTCCTGGGATTAGTACTATGTATATTAATGGACAAGTTCATCAGTTTAGTGCAGGGGAGAAATCGCATCCGCAGATTAAAGAGATATACTCGATGTTGGATGAGATGATTCGGAAGTTAAAATCGGCCGGTTATTTACCTGACATTGCCTCTCAGATTTTATCGGGTGGTGGTGGAGGAGTTGATAGTAACGAGGAGGAGGAAAAAGAGCAAGCTTTGCTGTGTCACAGTGAGAAGTTGGCAGTTTGTTTTGGTCTGATTAGTACAAAAGCTGGCACCCCTCTTTATATATTTAAGAATTTGAGAATATGCCAAGATTGTCATTCTGCAATGAAGATTGCCTCCAAAATATATGAGAGGGAGATAGTTATTAGAGATAGGAATCGTTTTCACTCGTTTAAAGACGGTTCGTGTTCTTGTTCTGAATACTGGTGACCTGGATCACAAAATCCAGTTAAATGTAGACAATCATGGTGATGCAATCGATGTGTTGGATTTTATTTCATCGAGTATTGTGACCGTTATACCCGGTTGGGAATTAGGACATGACTTGATAGACGATGTAATCCTAATAATCGTAACAAATTCCAAATATAAGATAATTACATATTACATTTGACTGTTAATCCTGACAAATTCAACCAATCGTATTTATTCCATTAACATCCCAGACCAGGCCTTGAAGAGTTTCGTACGATTTCAAAATCCCAACATCGAACGTAGGAAACGGTAATTGAAAATTGCAATCGAATATTTGTATTATGATGAGTTATTGACACATGTATACATCAGTTTACAAAACTAGGCGAAGAGGGATTCTCAATTTAATCTCTATACGTTGCTCGATATTAAATCTACTTGATTTGTCTGCATTTTACCATCCTCAGTCATGCTAAAGCCTTTGGCCTTTCCCTCTTGAATTCGTTGTAGTCCGAAATCAAACTGCTGTTAACTTTATCTTTCATATTCTCCACCAATCTCTTGAGAACCTATGCACAAAAGCACCATCAAACAATTTCACTAATACGAAAAAAAGAACAAAAAAACGCAAAAAAAAAAAAAAATGGTTCAGATTTCTAACCGATTCTGCCACATCTCGACGAATATCTTCAGGAACCAATCCAAGCATAGGTGGAAGAACAAAGCTTATGCTCATATTTAGTTGACCTCTCAGCCTGCATCGTGGGCCCCGTCTATCGGGATACAGAGCCCCCTTTACACCGAGGGAAAATTGAGACGGCTTGAGCATCTCGTCTAATCCTTGGAGCTCCCATCTTATCTGGCATTATTACAATGGCATGTGATTGGTTGCTAATTCCAAAAAAGAGAAGATTTTGTGTGGAATTTTATCTTACGATATCGAGCTGAAGAACCTTTGAAATATCTTGTGGAACTCCGGGTGGATATTCTGTCCCACTAGATTTACATCTTAATCGCATGTCGATCACTGGAGACACCGTTAGGAATAGGAATTCTATCGGTAGCATGTGAACTCTCCACTCATCCTGCTTTCAAATAAGCTCAGAAATCGTGATAATATACTTATGTAAAGCATGTATTCAAATTAATCTAGTTTGAAAGTAAAAAGGTGGATGCTTTTTTTTGCCCAATTTTCGATTAAAGGTGTTCATAATAGTTGTTGTGAATTGTGATTAAATCCAGAATAATGGGGAAAATTTTGCGAAAACCCTAACCAGAAGTCAAAGGGAAGAAGAAAGGAGAAATGGGAGAATTAGGAAAGGTAACCTCATTGAGCTGGTTGCTCCTGCGTTTATCGGGAAAGATGGCTTTGAAAACCCTAGGTTTATCTTCCAAATACTGATCAAATGAAGCCTGTTCATTATCCAAATTAAACCCCAAATTCAAAATTATTGTAAATAAAAAACAAAATTTTGTTACCCCGGGAATTTCGTAGAGAGAGATGTCGGTCGAAATTCTGGAAGAGTAAGTAGACGGATTCACCATTTGCGCTTCTACTTTCGTACTTCGCTTCTGCTTTTTTCCCAACCTCGAGATATTGCATTGCCACTTTGGAATTAGTTTTATCGGACATCTCCTGAAATTCGATGCGCCGCCAGGTAATAGCACGTTCCGGCACGACGGCGCCGCCGCGGCGAACTCGTTCATTGTTTTTTATTTTATGAACACCGATTTTGAGGTCGGCGAAGAAGGCATGGGGAGGGAGATGAGAGTCGCACTGAAGAAGAAGACAACCATATCTAAGTTTTATCTGACGTGTCAAACTATTATTGGCTACGAACGTGACAGGTGTTCTTCACGCGGGACCCATTTCAACACTCGAATATCGTTTGGATTTTCAGTTATTCAGAATTATAAAAATCAATTAATAAAGAATAAGAAATAAAAGTTTTTGGAAAAAACAAAAGTCAGTGATTATAAGTTATATTAGTGAAGTGTTTATTTCTGAAAGTTACCGGGACACAAATCAACATTAAGCAATTTATTCTAAAAGAAGTTGGTGTTATATTTCAGCTTAAAAATACTTATTTTAAAGAAGTAGAAACAAAAGTCGGTACTGCAAAAATGATTTTGAGCCCAAAAAAACATAAAAAAGAAAGAAGCTCAGAATCACTTTTCAAAAGCTTTTGCAAACACCGCCTAAATGCAATTGCGAATTGAAGGTTTCAATTTTCTCGAATAAATCATTCGTCCGAAATTATTATTGCATCCTTGTACAAAACAAAAAAGTAACAACTTCAGTCACATATCCTAAATTATGCTGAATATGGTATCCTCACAGCCATCCTCTGAGCCAACCAAGGCCTCTGTGTGTCTGGATCAACAAAACTATGTCCAAGAAACTGCTCTGTTTCTTCGTCTATCAATTCTCTCGCCCACGTCACACGCTTCGTCGGGCTGCTACCTGGCCCAAAGCACCTGCAATAATTGTTCCAATATTTTCTTTTTTCAAATTATATAAATAAATAAAAAAGGTCGAAAATGAAAACAAGAGATGTCATTTTTGAAAATTGCATTTAGTTTCCCGATAAACTTACTTGTACTCGTAAAAGCAAGAACTTCTTTCATTCTCAGTATTCCCCCAGTTATTCCAACCAGCTTGCTTAACACAACCATCCATGTATGTGTATGCATAGACCACCCTACCAAACGGTCCCCACGGTCTCCCAAGATATGCGTACTGTGTCCCTCCATTACCAGTAATCACACATCTGCATCACCACACACACACATACACACATTAATATATATATATATATAGACTTACTGACTTAGTATTGGTAATCATTGTTTTTCAAGTAAGGACTCATCTTCAAGAAGATCATAGTGTATCGGTATAGCGAAACAAACACTATTCTTTTGTTTATCATTGTCAGGTCAAAAGTTACACTAATTCCAAAAAAAAATCCAATTTATATACATATAGCAACAAATGTGTCCAGTAAAGGCATTCTAACTAGGAAAATGAATGGCCAGTGTCCAAGAGAACTCGTTCATTATTTATTTTACGTATTGGAATCGCAGGAATTCTTACGGAATTTGCTAATGGTACAGAATTTCGGATCATATCTATGCAGTTTAACTATCACAAGCAGATTAATATAGAACTAGATATAGTTAGAATGGAATACTACAGTTTCCTATTTAGCGTTGTGTTGTTAAAGCTAACGACAAAATTTAACGGCACGAACCTCAAGAATACATATCCAGTCGTCTCTTGGGAAGATTTTCTGCTTTGAGCTGTTATGAAACCCGGGGATTTGCAGTGAATATGACAATGCTCCAAAAGAGCGGTGCTGTTACCGAAAATGAAGTCTACACTTCCTTCAATATAGCAATCCCTCAAATATTGCTTCCCGTGATGCAAATACAGAGTATCCTGCACGAATACCAAGTTCCGATGGAACAAAAATGATAAATCGATTAGATTTTTTTAATGATTTGAAGAGTCTATACGATGGAATGTACAAAGCAAAAATCCAATCCGAGAAACTTAGATAGCAGAATTTGTTCTTCGTTTCTGCATTCTCAGCAGCTAATAAACGATTAATATACCTGAAAACTAAGAAATCTGCAATTGTAGAATGCGCAACGATCGGCCGTCACTCTAATTGCCACAGCCTGCCCTGAACCCTAGATGAGGTTAAAGAGAAAGGCATCACAAATTAGCAGACTGAAGAAACAATTTCTAGTTGCAAAGTAACTTGAAAAATTCAACTGAAGCTCACTACAATGGCAAACACGTAAATATATTTATATTCCTAAAATTATTCAGATCAAATCAATGCTACTACAGATAATTAATTCGGCCCCCTTTTACAGAATAATAGAAGCAGTAAATTCCATTTCTAGGGGATTACTCTCGAAAATTCGTACCTCGGGAGCTGAATTTTCGAAGGTGATGTTCTCAGCAATGAAATCCTCCCCCTCGACGATCGTACTCCCGCAGCCAAACGTCCCGGTTCCGATCACACGCGCCGCCTGGTGGTGGTCGATTTTGACGGCGGTGTTGTTCCACGTGAGCACCGTCTCCTCGGGGCGGATTCCGGCGAGCGTGATGAGGTTTTTGGTCTTCGGCACGTACAGCACCTGCCGGTAAACGCCGGGTGCGATGCGAATCACGGTGCGGCACGTGTTGCTGAGTGGGACCGCGTCTATCGCTTCCTGAACGGTCCGGTAATCGGCGGCGCCTTCTTGCGCCACCGTGATTATCCTGGTGCCCATGTACAACAGTCCAGCTGCCGGCAATTGCAGTTTCCGATCTGGTCCACGGAGATTGCAACAAACACTGTTGCGGAGCGAAGGAGAAAGTGAGTACAGTTGAGAGTATAATCAAAGAAGTCGGTGCTTCTTATGGTGGAGAAAAAGTTTATTCCTTTACTTTAGCTTTCTTATCTGTAATTAAAGATCATATAAATCTGATTAGTCACTGTAATTAAATCTAATAGGAGGATTATCATTTTAAATTGGGTAAATTACAAACCCCCATGAGGTATGGTCAAATTACGAACAAACCACTCATGTTTGGGCCTTCAACTATAAATCTTCTTACGCGCTGCGCTCACTCTCGCGGTGTCAAGCTTAGTGGAATCTTCTAGATTCTATGGAATATTCTCAATTTTATACACGTTGTATCCTATTCGAGCTCCACATTTTGAAGCAAGATGGCCATAAGATATGTTTTTTGGCTTGTATATATGAGATTGTGGTGCATCAGAAAATGTATTTTTACACAAAACGAGTATAAACTAGAGAACATTCCACGGAATCTAGAAGATTATGTTGAATTTGACATCATAATAGTGAACATGTAAAAAGATTCATAGTTCATGGTAGTTGTAATTATCCAAACATTAGGGGGTTTTTTGTAATTTGACCATACCTTACGGGGTTGGTTGTAATTTACCCTTTTAATTTATTTTGTTTAGAAGTTTTAATTTTATTTTTAGTTAATTATCATTGTGGTTATACAGTTTTAGACCTGTATAAGCCCAATTTGAAAATATAACTAGGCCACAAATTACTTCTGCCGACAGCCCAGTTGGAATAGTCAACGGGCTGCAGGCCTACACGGTTCAATAAACGTGACACGTTGGATTTAAAAATCTATTTATAGCAACAAAATCTGGTCCGTCCATCTGTATTAAATGTACGGAGATTAGATCCTAACAATCCGGATAACTAATAATACAGTGCACCGACGCCACACCGTGTAAAAATCTCTCACGAGATCCGATCGCCAAGTATATATAAACACACTGTTTCAACGACTTTTTTTCCCGATCACATAATCATTTCATCAGATTACAAATCCCTAATTCAGCTCAAATCAATCAACAATGTCGTACTTTCCCAAAGGGCACCACGACGGCGATGCGGTCGACGACTTCGACGAGTTCGATTCCACCCCTTACGGCGGCGGATACGACATCGTTTTGACCTACGGCCGCCCCCTCCCCCCTTCCGAGGAGACCTGCTACCCCATCACCTCCTCCGGTTCCGAGAGCTTCGACTACGATCGCCCCCAGTATACCTCGTACGCTGAGCCATCCGCCTATGGGGATGAGGCTTTGGATAACGAGTACAAGAGCTACGCCCGGCCAAAGCCCCGCCCTGCTCGGCCATCTTACGGTGGTCCGCCGCCGTCGGAGCCTGGATACGGCTACGATAGGCCCAAGCCCAGTTACGGTGGAGAGAGTGAGTACGGATCCGGTGGCGGATCCGAATTTGGTGGGAGGCCTGAATATGGATCCGGTGGGTACGGGAGGAAGAGTGAGTACGAGGAACCTGCTCCCGAGTACGGGAGGAAATCGGAGCCTGAATACGGTGGATCCGGTTACGGAAGGAGACCCGAGGCCGAGGAATATGGATCTGGTGGGTATGTGAAGAGACCTGAGTATGGGGAAGAGGAAGGTGGCGGTGGTGGTGGTGGTTATGGGCGGCCAACCAGTTATCAGGCGGAGGGTTACGAAAGGCCAAGCTATGGTAGGTCTGAGGAAGAGGATTACAGGAAGCCCAGCTATGAGAGGCGTGAAGGTGACGATGATGAAGGCTATGGCCGCAAGAAATATGTGAGCTTTCTATATTTAATCTATTATTTTTAATGCTTTGCGTTTTATGTTTCAATTTGGTTTTTACTGCTTGTTGATTATGTTTTATGATTGCAAGCTTTGATTGATGTTGCTGCGTTGCCCTTGATTATTATTTTTTTCCAGACACTCTCATATTTGCATTAGAATATTGTCACCATGTTAACTATAGTTTGGCATACGGTAAATCACGGCTACCTTCTGAGGTAATGTCAAATTACGAGAAAAAAAAAACCTCAACTATGAATATTCTTACATGTCCACTCTTGCATTGTCAAATTTAGTGGAATATTCTCTAGTTTGTATTCGTTTTATCGCATATCAGTTCCACATTTTGAGATCGCGGTGCATCAGAAACTGCCTTTTTGCACAAAACGAGTACAAACTAGAGAACATTCCACATAATCTAGAAAATTATGTTGAATTTGACACCATAAACATGAGGAGTGTTTTCGTAATTTGACCTTACCTTAGGGGTTGGCCGTAAATTAGCCTATAATATAGAAGTATATAACCCGTACCTTATATTGAGGAATGGAAGTAAAAAATTACAGTGCAATAAGTGAATCTTTAGAACTGTCAATGGCTTTCTTTCTGTATTGAATACTGGAGTAGGAGAGCTGTTTTATGATCATGCTTGCTTATCTTGAAACCTTGCCATAATTTTTTAGGGTAATGGTTTGCTCAGTTTATTGATCTATTTTGGTTGGAATTCGTTTAGCTACATTTTCGATTTTCCACTTTACGATTAGTGATCCGGACATAATAATTGATTATATGCAAATTTGGCAGGGAGATGAGAACTCTGGGGACGATGAAGACGAGGAGAAGAAGCACCGCCACAAGCACCACCACCGTAAGCACTATGATGATTAAGCAACAATGGTCTGATGTATTCCGAAAAAATGGATTATGCCGTTTTCAAGCTACTAAATAAAGTGTTGTGTGTGTTCTTTTTCTAATTAGTATTTTGTTTTTGAGTGTATTCTAAGCATACTGGTTTTAACCATATGCAGAAAATAAAAAAGTAACAGTTGCATGGGGCCTGCTTGTATGTATGCCTGATAATGCTTGTGGTTTTTTTGAATGTTTTTGTTATGTTTCAAAGTAAAATCCCACATATGTTGGGATATATGTTGGTATGTCCTGTTTCTGCTTATTTATGTCGTGCAATTTTACGTGAAACGACGCAGTTTTTTTTTCTTTTTCTTTTCGTGCAGCAGCAAACTTAAGTTGTTTGGATACTTAAACGCGCATGGAAGCTTGACCTTTTCTTGAATACCTATAAATTTCTGTGTTGATTGAATCATCCAAAAATTGTTCAAATTCGAAGAGCTCGTTTGGTTGATAAGTTAAGCTGTGATTTATTCGAGAACTGAGTTTTATTTGGTGTTCGGTTAGTACAATAATTAAACTAGTCGACTCCAAAAAATGCGGGGAGAATCGTCACGCACGTATTATGACCTTTTGAGAATTTCGTCTATTCAATATTGTCTGTCACTTAAAAAATTCAATGCCGATAAATTACATATTTTTTTAATTATGTCCTTATTAACTCTCTCCAACACGAAACACTCTCTGTATTAATTTGTAAACAATAGTATTTTGGTTTAACAACATTTATTTTCTGAAATCAAAATATATTTATTAAATTTCTTAAGATTTGTCCAAATTTGAAAAACTACACTTATTTAAAAACGAAGATGGTAGTTAATTAATCTTTGGTTGGTAGACTATAATGAAAGTCGGTCAGAAAACGATCATTCAAAACAGTGTGAAATTGGTTCTTCCAAAATCAACCATCTTCAAGTGGAAAAATAAAGCCAAAAAAAATAAAAAAATAAAAATAAAATAAAATATAAATATAAGTGCAAATTGTTAGAGCAAGTGCAATAAACATTGCATTCAAACCATTAACCACTATTTATATACTAAAAATAGAATTTTTTAATTTCAATGGCGTTATCAAATAAGGGTTCTATTTTAATAATCTAACTTTTGGGATGTAAAAATACTTTCTGGAAATTGAGTTATCAAAAGCGTAACTATCTAAACATCCAATCAAAAGTTGATATGTGTCAATTACAACTAAAATCACCCGTAAACTTCCAATTGATAATTAATTTGATAACCATAGTTGGAATAGATAAATTTTAATTAATATTAAAATATTATCTCAATAATCAAATAAATATTTCATAATTCAATTTTGGTATTTCCTCATAGATATATGTTATTAATGTTTGATCAAGTGGTGGTTGAACTTGAACGTGTACAGCTCTCGAATGTGACCAATTCCCCACATCTAAATAGTTTATATAAATGTCAATTTCTTGTTGAAAATTAAATAAATTTTATGGATCGTAGCATCAAAAATTACAATTTGTTATACTAACCCTAAATAAAATATTGGATTGCCGGCAAACTTTAAAAGACTTATAATTATAGGTCTTGGCAGAAATTGATTTTAAAATAAAAATTAGTGATTGCGATTTAAGTTGATTTGTAATGTTTATTTTTAAAAATTGATCGTATTTGAAAATTTACTGGAAAATTAACTTCAAATGAAAATGCAGATTCAGATGTGCTTTTAAAATTATCCCTTAAAACAACTTATTATAAAAGAAGCATAAACTTGTAAACATCTTACAACAAATTATGAGAAAAAAAAATTAAAATAATAAGCTCTGGCTAATTAGGTAATTGTTTAAAAAAGGCCAAAATAATTAGGAGGTTGTACCATCGTACTCATTGACTTATTAGCTACATTAAGGGTCCATTTGGATGGAGAGATTTGGGGAGGGATTTGATTTGGGGAATGGATTTGAAATGACTCCAATTTTGGAGTCATTTGAAATCCATCACTATTGCTCCAAAATCAACTAAAAAGGAGGGGTGGGGATTTGAAATCCATCTCCAAATCCCTCAATCCAAACAAGTCCGAGGGATTTATTATTATGGATTTGAAATCCCTCCCCCAAATCCCTCCATCCAAATGCACCCTAACTTAATTTATCTTCTTCACAAAAAAATTAAAAAAAAAAAATGTTTAATTAATTTACAAATTTGCAAAACAATGTATAAGAAAATTTGACACATGAATTATGATAAGAAAATGGAAGCATGGATTTATATCACGAAAATTATAGATTTCACCCTCAAGTTTGCACAAATTTCATATTTGGTCCCTCATGTTCATAAAAAAATACATTTGATCCCTCATATTTCAATAATTTATTACTTTTAATTTTTTCCGTCAATTTACAGTAAGCCCGTCACACATACGCTTGATTCCGTTAGTTTTAATGAAAATTTGACAAAAATGACTAAAAATGTTATATTTTTGAAACATGTGGGACCAAATATAAAATCGATGGAAATGTGAGGGGTGAAAACTGCATTTATCCCGATTTATAGTATGACGATAGTATGAACACACTATAGATTAAATAAAATAAATAAATAAATAAAAACAGATCAGTCATGGCTAATCATGGTTAAACAATAATTAAGTCATAATTAGAGCAGCCAACTTTATTTGAACACCGAGTACAGATCTTAAGCTACATTATCAATTATCAATTATTATTATTATTATAAGACCAAATCCTGTTCAAATCTCTTTAAACAATTGCTTGCTTATCAAAGTTGACATTTTCAATAATCCAAAAAAAAAAAATCAATAAATGTTCTCTTATAAAATTAAATCTCCAATCCCCATAAATCAACAGCTCTTTAAAAAAAAAAAAAAAAGAAGAAAAAAAAAATATATTTTTGTTGCAGCAGAGAGAGGAAAGATGAAGTTTGGGAAGGAGCTAGCTTCCCAAATGGTGCAAGAATGGCAAACAGCATACATGGACTACGACAACCTCAAATCACTGCTCAAAGACGTCATGATTTTCCGACAAGAGCACGCGCTGACGTCATCTTCTCCATCGGGCCCGGAGGCCCGATCGAGGGCCCTTAAGAGGAGGCTCACCATGTACCGGGCCTTCAGCGGGCTGACGAGAGGAACCACCGTGAAAACCGAAGACGAAGTAATACTAGTGAGCTCCGACGGCGGCGCCGCCGCGGAAACACATTACCAGACCATGTTCCTCAAATCCTCCGAAGAAGGCGGAGAGTACGAGATGGTGTTCTTCAGAAGACTCGACGAAGAATTCAACAAAGTTGTCAAGTTTTACAAGGAGAAAGTTCAGGAAGTGAAAATGGAGGCGCAAGAATTGAACAGACAAATGGATGCTTTGATTGCTTTAAGGATTAAAGTGGATAAACCTTATGTAGAACACAAATTTTCTCCCCGCCAAATTAGGGTTCCAAACCCTGCTCCTGCAACTGTACTTGCATCAGTCAATCCAGTCAAGAAAGGTTTTTTTGTTTTTTTTTTTTTTTTTTTTAAAGAACCCTTTTGATTAAATTTTATTGGGTTTATTTATTTAATTGAAAAAAAATAATCTTTTTGTGTTTTTGAATATGAAGGAGTGAGAATGGATGCAATACATGAAGTTGAGATGAGCAGTGAAGAAGGGGTTAATTATGGGGGTGGATTGGAGATGAGGAACAAGAAAAACAAGAATGATATTAATAGTTTTAGGCCTGCTCCTTTGGAGATTTTGGATCACGTGAAAATCAATGTCGAACCCAATACTCCGGTTTCGACTTTAAAGAATGTTTTGGGGAGTTCGAAATCTGATCTTTCTTTCAGCAAAGATGAACTCAAAAGAGCAGAGGAGAAAATGATCAAAGTCTTCGTCGAATTCTGTCAGCAGCTTCGACTTCTTAAAAGCTACTGGTATATATATATATATATATATATATATATATATATATATATATATACACATATATATATCGTGTATTTTTATATTTTTCAAAATTGACGTAGATGACTGATATATAGTGGTGCATTGTTTTGCCAGTTTCTTGAATATGCTTGCATTCTCCAAGATAATGAAGAAGTACGACAAGGTATTTGTCGATTTTTATTTTTATTTTTAATTTGCTCGGCTTTTGATCTGGATATTCGACCAAAAAAATAATGTTTTTTTGTTTCTTCTTCTTGCAGATCACTACAAGGAGTGCTTCGAAATCGTACTTGGAGATGGTTGACAAATCTTACCTCGGAACTTGCGATGAGGTTTGTTTAGTATTATGGGACTTTGTAATATAAAATTTTATATGATCGTTGCAGATTCAAGAAAGTTTTTTATACGCCTCGTCCTGTTTTTCAGGTCAGCAAACTCATAGAAAGAACCGAAGCCACATTCATTAAACACTTTGCGAACGGAAACCGCAGAAAAGGAATGAAATCTTTAAAACCGGGCCATAAAGTAGAGAGGCACCGAACAACCTTTTTCCTTGGTAATTTATAAACTCCGTCGTTCTTACAACATCTCTTACTTAGATAAAATTTAGAATTCTCTAATATATATATACACATATACAATGCAGGTTTATTTACGGGTTGCTCAATCGCACTAGCTGTTGCTATTATAATCTCGATACACGCTCGGGATCTTCTTAATCACGAAAGACGAGGGGAGTACATGGAGAGCATATTCACACTCTATAGGTACATATCCTTTTTTTTATCAACTTATTCGACCAAGGGCATTTTCGTCATTTCTTCCTCGACGGAATTAAGTGATCAATATATTAATTTTAAATTTTGCATCGACGCATGCAGTTTCGTTGGATTCATTGTCCTACACATGGTTATGTACGGAATGAACACGTACTATTGGAGGCAATACCGTGTGAACTACCCTTTTATATTCGGATTTAAACCAGGGACAGAATTGGGATTTAGAGAAGTACTCCTCGTTGCTTCCGGCCTTTCTGTACTCACATTGGCTGCTGTGCTTTCGAATCTCGATATGGAAATGGATCGAAGAACTGAACGTTTTCAGACATTAACTGAACTCGTTCCACTTGCTCTAGTCCTTGTAAGTGTGTCCGAAAAATAATTATTATATCTTGTTTTAGTCCTTTATATATGTATATATATATAAAGATTAATAACTTTAAATGAAATATTCGTTTAACAGGTTGTTCTTTCGATAACATTTTGTCCTTTCAACATAATATACCGCTCGAGCCGATACTTTCTCCTTTCTTGTGCATGGCACTGTCTTTGTGCTCCACTTTACAAGGTATATATATACTTATTTAGGTTGTAATAACAAATCCAAAACAAGAATTACACGTAAAACTCTATTTTTTTTTTGTAGGTTACACTTTCTGACTTCTTCTTGGCAGATCAGTTAACAAGCCAGGTACGAACATTCTTTATTCTTCACGTAATAAACCGGAAAAAAAAAAAAAATCATAATCGAAGTTCTTCTTGTCGTAGTAATTGACTGTTATATATGTCTTCGTGTAATTTTTTTTCAGGTGCAAGCATTCAGAAGTATACAGTTTTACGTGTACTACTATGCATTAGGAGATTTCAGAAAGAGATCGAACAAATTCCTCGGAACCAGTGTTTATGATCTTTTGTACATCGTAGTAGCCATTATTCCGTATTGGTCGAGGGTTCTTCAGGTAAATTTTAAAAGAAAAACATGTGCATGCATTAATCTTGTGTCTGCCAAAAAATGGTAATAAAACTAATTTTTTTTGGTTGGTTTTAATTTTTTTTTTCAGTGCCTTCGGCGATTATTCGAGGAGAGAGATCCGATGCAAGGGTTTAATGCCCTAAAGTACTTATCAACTATTGCAGCACTTGTTATGAGGACAATGTATAGTCTTAATCTTAGGAAGCCCATGTTTTGGAGAATCATGGCTGCATCTACTTCGGGTTTTACGACTGTTTATAATACTTATTGGGATATTGTAATAGATTGGGGTTTATTGCGAAAGAATTCGAAAAATCCATGGCTGAGAGATAAGCTGCTTATATCGAACAAAGCTGTGTATTTTGTGGCTATAGTAAGTTGACAAAGCTCCTTTTTTTGTTTGTTTGTTATATATATATATATATACCAAAAAAACTGCTTCGTAATAATTTTGAGTTAAATGTTTCTTTTTATTTTGCAGGTAGTGAATATTCTTTTGAGACTTGTGTGGATGCAGTTGGTTCTTGATTTCAACGAGACGAGGTTTCTACATAGGAAAGCCATGGTTACCCTTGTTGCCTGCTTGGAGATTATTCGTCGTGGCATTTGGAATTTCTTCAGGTTCGATTATTCATGAATTTTTATTTTTTTTGTACCGTTGGATTTGTCTGAAAATCCTATAAATCGAGAGGGAAAAAAAATACTAACGTTCGACGTATTTATATCTACGATATTTTGTTTTGTTTAACACCTGAATGCCTTAACTGGACAGATTGGAGAATGAGCATTTCAATAACGTCGGAAAATATAGAGCATTCAAATCAGTGCCGTTGCCATTCCACTACGAAGACGAAAAGATTAGGTGACAGAATACAGCACACATTATATGTTTTTGTGTATACGAAAAAAAATCGAAGGGTGTGGAATATTATTTTCTTCATTTGTATTCTTTTCACATTTGTATCAATGTACACACGAATATTCGTTCATAAATGCAGTTTATTTACTTCACACTATTTATTAGAATTTACTACAGAAATGTTATTATAACTTCTCAAACAATAACACAATCCGAACATCGTATTACAGCTTACATACACAAAACATAAATCTGTATATTGAACAAATTATTAAAATTAAAGCACACTTTTACGTAAAAAAAATCGTAAACTGTAATCAAAATTCGGAATTCAGCCAATATGTAAACATTATATTGGCAGGTTATTTTTCACACTATATTTACACGTATTTTTCCGAAATTAGCTGACAGGTATACAAACAAAATTATTTAGATTAATCACCAAATAAAACGGCAAAAAAAATTATTTAGGGGAACATATATCCACATCGTCTTCGTCCTCGTCATCATCGTTTAAGGTAACGAAAGAGTTGCAGGGCGAGTTCTCTGCAGTTACATCACCTGTGCTGCCATTATCACGGCTTCCAAATATATACGACATGGACAAAGGATTCGAGGAAGCGCTTTCCCTTTTCAAGCCCTGTATAGCATTTATTGCAGCAAGTGTACTCTGGTATATACGTACAGTTTCTTGTCCGAGCGAAAATGTCGTCTCCGACGAAACATTCGCCACCTCAGCATGTGATACGCATGTCTGGTAATCGAAAGTATCGGTCGATTCTACCACCTCAGCTTCTATCGGAAACAAAACCTCGAGATTCTCTTCACACTGGTGAACTAATCTTGTTAATTGCTCGGTTGTGAAGAAGGGCTGGTTAAAGGCGAGCTGAGTGAAAGGTAGGCTCAATAATGCCCCAGTTCGTTTATCGTATTTCTTCAAAATCTTGATAAGACCTTTATCGAAAAATTGCACGAAACAAATATTTATTCAAAGTAAAAAATATCGAACGATTATTTTAATAGAGAGGAGCTTATTTCTTTCTTTCGTTACCTGCAAAGTTGAGGGAGCTGTAGCTTTTGAGCAGAACCATCTCTCCGTGAATCGAGACAAAGTCTCTACGTATCTCCATTAAATCTTCACTAAATTCAATCTCCGAGGTGAAAACTCCATTGTACCTTCCTCTCTCCTTCACACGCTCGATTTTTTCCTTTAGTGCCTGAGGCAAAAAGACGCCGATAATAATTGAAATCACGTTAGTACATTGTTTTGGTTGTTCGTCAAAAAAATATCCTACGATGTAAATTAACCTGTTTTATACGCAAAGTTCTCACATGTCAACGAACGGTAAAAAGCCAAGAGTAACATTTTATCTGGGTTTTCTTTTTCTTTTTTTCGATATTTGTTTTTTTTCGGGTTTTGTCGTATGCTTTCGAGCACGTCACGGAAGCATATTTACACATTAATAAAAACTAATTTTGACACATCTGGAGCCCATTAACAATACATGTGTTGCAGTAAGCTAATCCCAGTCAGGCCAAAATAAACAAATCCCATAAAAAAAATGGAATATACCTTCACATATTCTTTTGAACCATCAAAACTTCGAAAACCGATGCCCACTTTAACATGTTGATGAGTACTATAATTCATGTTTTTTTCTTCTCTTCCATACCCACTACTCTGTCAACATCATCTCGTATGATCCAAATAAATAACATCTCCGTTTTTAGCTTCTCTCGTGCACTCATCGCATAAGCTGTCCTAACAAACTTCATCAATCTAATGTGACATTTTGCAGTTTAACACAAGTTCATCGGTTTTCTTGGTTCGGAAAAGTTCGACGGTTTCTACGTTGACAAGGAGGCAAGAGAAGCCTGACATTATCTGTGAACGGTATAAATTCTTAAAATCTCTTCTCCTTCAAGCCAATTTTTTAATTTTTTTTTTTTTAATTCTTAAATTCAAATGCTCAATTTTGCCACTTTTTAAGCAATAAAACCCTACCACTATGAGTTTTGAGTAGCTCAATTTTCAAAATATTTAAGCGGTCCAGTATTTCATTAAAACAACGAATTAACATAAAATTGTCCTCACCCTAATTCCCAAATTGAAATCAAATCAATGTTTATTACGCCTAATTTGAATTTACGAATCTCATCAAAAAAATCAAAACAAAAAATTGCACAAACAAAATCGATGAATTTCATCAGAAGAAAAGGCCAAAAAAAAAAAAAACCTGGAAGCGGATGATAAAGTCCTCCTCCTTTTCGACGTAGAAATCGTTGAACTTTTCAAGCTCCTCGTTGAGAATCGTGACAAACCATACGTGGAGCTCCGGCAACGGCAGCATAGGAACAGCCGCACCCACGCCCCGCGGCGGATTATCGGCGGCGGCGGGAACATTCTTCAGCAGCTTCTTCAGGACCTTGTAGCACAGAAACTTATCCCTCCATGAAGGTAGGGTTTTCTCTAAGTGCATCCTGAATTCTTTCCCGAATTTCATATGATTTATCGATTTTTCTAAATGAATTCTTGTAAACACTAATTACGATTGAATAAGTGGGAATTCTTTTTTTACAGGAAAAATGGTGAAAGTGTGTGCAACAAGAACATGCTTTTGGTGTCTAATCTAATATTTAAGATAAGATTTATAAGATGTATATAAATAGAAAGGCTTGCATTTTGTTTTATTTTATTTTATTTATTTATTCAATTTTGATGTTGTTGTTACATTGTGATTGTGGATGAATTGGGATCTTGTTTCTAAAAATTAAAATATGACAAACAAATGCAACAAAAAAGACCTAGTAACGGTCGAGGAATATCCTTTGGACCCAGGAAAGGATAAAAGAAAAGATCATATATGAAGGTAAAATTAATTTTTTTTTTTAATTGAAAGAATGTACAACCAATTATATAGGTGTACTGGTTAACTGCACTCTCGTACAGTATAATTTGTATATTATACGAGAAACGTAAACTATACTAGACTAATTACGTGTGACAAGCTCGATTGACAAATGAATTCGAATTTGGGTCAACTGACACAAACTCACTTGCTTCAATTTTTAGACAATCTCTTCCGGAGATTTGGCCGAACTTTCTATTGTCGTGTTTTGTTTGTTTGTCATAAAGTAAGACAGACTACTTCAAGAGAAAAAAAAAATGAATTGAATTTTGTAATGGAGGAGGGATTAAGTTATTTTAATTTAATGTATAGAATTTCGGTTGCTACTATTTTGGAATTTGAAAGATTAAATTGAAATATATGTTATATTTGTTTTAATAGTATAGTTTATGATGCCAATTGATTAAAAACACAAAATAAAAACAAATATACTCATAAAAAAATTGATGAAAAGTACTGCAAGAGGCCCAATTGTCGAGGAAAGCTCAAGAAAAAATGTACAAAGAAAAATTGTGATCGTATTTACCTTTTGGGAGTTTGAAAATATATTTGCATAAACAATTCCAAAACAAAGCCCTAACACACACCACATGTAATTAGGAGAAAAAAGAAAATATCAATATTAAATTCATTGACAAGTGCATTTATTTTAGTAATATACTTGGGCTATGGATTAAAAAATGATATCAATAAATGCGCTGATGGAATATTCTTCAGAGGATCCCGTCAACTTGTGGTGGTGTAGGCCGGATCCTGCTTTTTATTTTTTATGAGAAAATTACAGTTTTCATCCCTCAAATGTGCATCGATTCCACATTTGGTCTATCGTGTTTGAATAATTTAACATTTTTAATCATTTTCATCAATTTACTGTTAGTCGAAAGCAGTGACGGGCACACACACAATTCCATTAGTACTAACGGGAAATTGACAAAAAAGACTATAAGTGTTCAATTTTGGAAACATTAGGGAGTCAGGGACCAAATATATTTTTTGTGAACATGAGGGGTCAAATGTAATATTGGTGCAAGCTTGTTGTGGCGAAAATTATAATGTAAAAAACAAAGATATTAGAAGAACAAATAATAACCCATCTATCAATCGAATGATACTTGGGTCGAATACGAATACGAATACGAATATTCAGTTCTAATTTCATATTCAACAGCAACCAAAACACCAATCTTTAGATTACCAAAGTTCCAAAAAAAAAAATTAAGAATAAATAAAAAGTGAACAAAACAATAATCAGCAGCAAGATCAGACGAGACTATATTTTCTCGAGAGCCTGAAGAATGTCAGCCTTCAAATCTTCAAAGTCCTCCACTCCAAAGCTGAAGCGAACCAGGTTGTCCATTATACCATATTTAGCCCTCTCCGACGGGGAAAGATCCCTGTTTTCAATTTCATTTTATTTTTATTGGCAAAATTTTGACTTAATTTTAAACACTTCAAGATTCAGTTATCGACTTACCAATAGGACATTATAGCTGGTTGGTCAACAATGCTTTCGCAGCCTCCGAATGAAGGAGCAATGTATGGAATTCTTAGTGCATCGACGAATTTCGCGGTGATTAGTAAGTCTCCATCGACCTAATTATATATTCAGAATATCAGAGAAATTGCTTTATTCAAAAAAAAAAAAAAAAAACACGAAAAGCCCCAGTGACTGTAGCTTTATGGATACTGACCTCGAAACTAACAACACCGCCAAATCCATTCATTTGCTTCTTAGCAAGGTGGTGTTCTGGATGACTTGCCAGGCCTGGATAATATACACGGCTAATCTGCAATTATATTTTGTCAAGTATCAGAAGCGAAGCAAGAAAAATAACAGATATGGTTGTACAAGCTTCTACAATTACAACTGGTTTTATGTAAGCCTCTACACGTAGACATGCAGAGTAAGTTATGAAGCTATTATTTACCTTGGGATGTGCCTCTAAAATTTCGGCCATCCTTTGTGCTGTCGAGTTTTGTTGCTGTATACGAAGATGCAGCGTCTTCATGCCTCTAATAATCAGATATGCGGCGTTCTGATCAAGGACACAATTGACCAGGCTTAGTTATGATACAGGCTCAAACAACATAACAAGAAAAATGCTCAATAGTGTAATAACTAGGAATATCGGTTCAACCATAATTACTTCATCAAATTCTTACGCAGAATTTTCTTAGTTAGTCTATGAAATAAGACAGCATCATGAAGTCAGTACACTTTTAATCTGAATTACTCACAGGATTGAGAGCGCCACCAAGAACATGATGCAGGTTACGAACTGCAGAAATCAACTTCTCAGGGCCACTGATCGATCCTGCAAGAACCTGTATGGAAAATGCTCTGATTGGTACTAAGACATGTAATGCTAATAATCTTAATATTATTGATTTGTATATAGATGGTGTGTGTGCGTGTGTGTGTGAAAACCCGTACATCGTTGTGCCCCCCAATGTATTTAGTTGCAGACTGTACAACAATATCAGCGCCAAGAGCAAGAGCCTTCTGGTTAAGAGGAGTTGCAAATGTCCCATCTATGCATACAAGGGCTCCTTTTGCATGACAAAGCTTTGAGACCTTCTCAATGTCAACACATCTCAAAAAGGGATTTGTTGGAGATTCTGTAAAGAAAAGAGCGACCTGCAAAGAAGATTATATACTTTGTTTATTTAGCACTCCATTGAAAGGAAATCAAACCAAACGATAATAAAAATATAATTTCCATCAAAACTAACATTGTTGTTCTCTAAAGCAGACTCCAGCCCTCCAATATCTGCAGGATCAATAACTGTGGCCTGCATTTTATTTCAGAAACATGGAAACGAAGAATGTCAGGTCTTTTAGGTCCGAACTTGCGAGAAACATTTTCATATATGCATATTTAATTAAGAAAGTATATCTTTCTATTTATCCCCTTTTTGTTTCTATTATTTCATTGCCGTCGTGTAATTTTTCCATATGCAGACTTGACACCAAAAGACCAAATTATTCCAATGATGTTTATAGAGTGAGACTGAGAGAACACTTTATTGGAAGAAAATTTTCATTGTGAGATAAATTTTAATGCTACACAAACGAACCAACTTAAATAATTGGGTAAGAAAGAACGTACAGTGATCCCCATTTTGGGAAGGAAATTCTCAATGAATACACGAGTCTTCCTGTAGCAGTCGGTGGTAGTCACCAAGTGCCCACCAGCAGGGACAAGTGCCATCAACATAACAGTGCTAACACACATTCCAGATGCCATCAAAATCGTTGATTCTGCCCCTTCAAGTGCACTGGTACAGTTTCAAGAAGAAGAATGTGGGCAATTGTCATAAACCCATGCACCGTTGTGAAGTATGTCATACTACAGGAAAAGAAGTTGAAGAATCAAGCTAACCTTATCTTCTCCTCTGCAACAACAGTAGTGTAATTCCCGTAGCGCCCGTATTCGAAACTTGTACTTCTTTTTTCCTGCCAAAGGAACAAAAGAAATCTCAATTTTCTCAATAAGTTCAGCTTGGCATAAGTGAAGGCAGAACAGAGAATAGTTATTTACTAGGCTTAGCTCAAAACAAATCATTCGATGTGTCTTTTGTTTATTGATGTACCCAATCAACAGTTAATGTATTAAATGGGAACATCCTCGACAGGATCCACAGTGGAATAACTTAAATATACCTTAAAATCAATTAGATCAGCAGTTTTCTTGAAGAAATAAGCAGATGTATTAACTACTGGAGTAGTTATAGCATCAGTAACAATGCCGCGGCCCAATCTTTCACCTGATCAAATTAACAAATTCCGAGATAAATGTCAGAACAGTTGAGCAATTCTCGAGAAAGATAATGCAGGAGAAATGTCAAAAACATCGTAAACTAGTGAACCAAAATGAGCAATTAGCGAGACAAAAAGAACCAACACGAGAAAGCAAATCACAAGTCGTTTAATTATCTTGCGTTGTCAATTGGAAGTGCGTGAATTGATGCATTCTAACGAGCTATGTGCACCAATTAGTAAGACTTTTTCTAACAAGTGCAGAATAAGCTTGGTCAAACTTTCCTAAATGCACACAAAACCAAGATTGTCTATTACAAGCTTTAGACCTTGGAAAAACAGAATTAAACACCAAAGCGATTAGCATAGATAATTTAAATTATTACAATCACAATTCACAACCGCATGCTCTCCTAAATGAAACATGGCAGACTAAAAAAATAGCCAGGCAACATGGACATAACTCGTGAATTCAACTTCATACGTATACGTAAAAAGAAAAACTATACGATATATCGAACTTTTCCGAACATACCAGCATGAATGGCAACGCTGCCATCGGAATTCAAAAATGAAGCGTATTTAAAAGGAGGCAAACCCTCAGGCTGTACATTTTCGGCATTAGGAGACGGATCCTCAGCCGCAGGAACCACATCGTCAACGCCGGTCTCAATCTCGACCGGCGCGACGGCGGCCAAGGCCGCATCGACAGCCTTAGCCGCCGGCGTGGAACCCGACGCGCCTTGGTTGTTCGACCACGAAGCCGCCACCACCTGAGCAACACCAATGTTGCTGCAATTCCTCCGAGCCTTGTTGCTCAGCTGCCTCACGAAATTGGGCGGAAACCTCAGAATAAGCGAGGAGAGGCCGTGCGCCGCTGCGCCGCCGCGAAGAATCGCCGACTGCGACTTCCCGGAGAAACCGCCGCCGCATCCAGCTGGAGGAATCTCGGGGCGGGAGAAATCGGGATCTGAGCGACACTCAAAGGACGGAAATGCCCTCGCGAAGCTAGACACGGCCATTATTAGGCTTAGGTTTTCTGATTTTTTTTTTTTTTTTGAGGATGAAGAGAGTTCACAAATTCTGGCCACCCCCCTCTCTCTCTCTCTCTCTCCTCTCTCTCTCTCTCTCTTTGGACTCGGGAAAGTAAAACCGGTTTGAGATGCCCTTTTATAGCGTCCCGTCCTTTCGTTTTTGAAGTTCAATTTTAATCACGTATGATGGTTCACTTCACTTGCCAATTTTTTTTTAAATTAATAAAATTAAATTATTTTCCGTTCGTGAAAGATGCAATTATATAATACTATTATTAAATTGGTGTAGTGGGCCCAGAATCATTGTCTTTGGTAAAGAGAATACGACAAATATGGCAAGTTGCAGCCCAATACTTTTACGCGCTAAAGTTGAATCCAGTCCAATCCAACTTCCCCCATTATATTTATTTAGCATTATTTAACCATAAAAAAAGAAAAATATATATTATTATTATAATTAAAAATTCATATTTTTTTATATTTAACACTCGAAGTATATTGTACAGAAGATCTTCGGGGTGGATAATGTTTTTCACAAATAGAATTAATTTAAAGTTCATAATCTGTGCATTTTTTATTGATTAGGTAATTATTTGATTCATTTATATTTTTTTGGTAAGTGTTTGATAATAAAAGTCATCAATTCAAGTAAATAAGATTTCTTTTGACTTGTTGGATACATGGATAAAATGTACAGGTCATAGTGATGTTGAAATATTTTATGAGATACAGTATAATACTCCTTAAATAATAATTAAAACGAATAGTTCAATAATTTAATATTTTGTTAAATTAATATAATTTTATCGATTCCACTGTATTAATTTATAGATATTTAATTATATAATGAAAATCACGCATACCATTTGATTGATATTTATAAACTCCACAAAATAAGAAAAATATTTATTTGAATTTACCTATAAATGCACCACATTTAATGTTGAAATCCGTGTCACCCAACTACTGCAATTATCGTGGTCCATTGAAATTGCACCCTCTACTATGTCACATCTGGACCAATTTGCAATAACTGGGAGAAGGAGTTAACTAAATTTAGGGCAATTTGATACGGACACTTAAATTAATGTATTAATTAATTCATAAGTACTATTACCTGTGTCATCTTATGTTCTAAACAACAAAATATTTATTCGTCGTTTGTATATATCATGTGACAATAAATAATTTTAATTTATTTTTTATTTACCAATTGATAATTATCTGGTGTCCGATCAATTTTTAATTTTACTTTTATTGGTTTTGTGACTGTTGAGAATGCGAAAGGCCAATTTACTTGAATTGTCCCTACCTTCCCACTTCAGAAGTGGGTGTTGCATAGATGAAGTGCGGACATGTATTGCAATATTCCTTGGTTTATTTTGGATCCGTAAACTAGGATTATTCATGGATCGGGTTTTAATCACCAACTAATTTGAAGGAGGTCAATTTAGTAAATTTGGGTTGAACTTCTTAAAGATAGGCACAGTCATAGGGTGGGAACGAGCCGAGCTCGGCTCTTTTGGCCAGCTCGAGCTCGAGCTCGAGTCCATGTTCCCGAGCTCGAGCTCATCGAACCAGTTTTTTTTTGGCTCGAGCTCAGGTTATTTAATTTTTTTTAATTATTTTTCTTTTATTAAAATCATTTTATTTTTTATTAAAAATTATTCATAGGAAAATAAAATAAAATATAAAATAAATAATGAACTCTAGTTATATATATATATTTTTTTTAGTTTTTCTATTATTATTATTATTATAATATTTTATCTTATTATAAATTATTTAAGTAATATAGATTTGTTTCTATTTAAATACTAGATATATTTATTATTATAGACTATTTACTATTTAGTTAATAATAATAATAATAATAATAACAACAATAAGAATTATATATATATATATATATATATATATATATATATATATATATATATATATAAAGAAAGAAAAGAAAAAAAAAATAGAAGGCAGCTCGCGAGCTGTCGAACAACTAATTTTGGGCTCGAGCTCGTGAGCTTGAGTTCGAGCTTTTTTCGAGCCGGCTCGTCGAGTTCGCGAGCCGGCTCGGCTTGTTTACCACCCCTAGGCCCAGAGAATAATGCAGATAAGAACCCAGATGAACTGTTGGGGTAGAAGGCCCAAGAAGCATTTTTAGTGAGATGCGGAGTTCGTTAGAGAAAGGAAGTTCGATTAGATGAATAGCCGAATAAGGGTGGTAAATGGGCTGAGCCGACTTCTAAACTAGATGAGTCGGCTCGTGAACTCGATGAGTTGAATTGATAGAAGCTCAAATTCGAACTCGAGCCCAATTATAGATGCTCGACGGCTCGCGAGCTCCTTATTTCTTTAAATATAAAAAGAGTAATAAAAATAATATTAAATAAATTCATATAAAAAAAACTTATATATTTTACAATCATTTTTATTTTTATTTTTATTCTTATAGTCAATTATTAAAAAGGAAAAAAAAAACTAATAATTAACGAAATGAGATAAGTCCGACCTCGTAAAATTGGATACGAGCTTGAACTTAAGTCTGGAATTTCTGGGGACCTCGGCTCGTTCAAACCTCTATAGACGTAATTGCTCATCAAGAAGGGAGGTCGATAGTCGCAGAATCTATTCGTATAATAATAATAATAATACGGATTATTTTGTAGACTCGCCTCATTTTCAAATTATATAGAACTAACTACCAATGGATTGCATCTTAGGGGAAACCCCCCTCATTTCGAAAATATTTTGATATACCCCCATGGGCCACCTTGAAGTCCCTATAATACCCTTTTAAAATCAGTTTTAAACCCTTTTAACCACTACAATTGTCTCTCTCTTCTTTTCCCAAATTCAAAATACCGCCTCCACAAACCTCCTACCGGTGAAATTGCTTCTCGGAGCCATAACTCTCTCTCCGGTGGTCGGACTTCGATGGTTTAACTACCGTTGGATTCCTCTCGTCGAGCTCTTTATTTTGGTGGTGATTTCATTCAGTTTCGAGCGCTGATCTGTTTCTGCAATTTTTTTTCATTCGAGGACGGTGGTCTTGCCGGAGCTTTATTTTGTGTTCCACGCGTCGAAATTTGACGGGCCACCCACCGTTGGATTTCTCTCGTCGGGATATATATTTTGATGGTAATTTCGTTTATTTTTATGTTTTCAGATTTATTTCTATATTTTTTTTGCAATTGTGGGCGCGCGGAACCGTGGGTGGTTATTAGCGGCGTTTATGGTTTTGGTAGCAGGCGAGGGGGGGGTGAGGAGTCACTGTCTGTTTGACTTAAAATCTGTAGCATTTCCCAACAATAACATCTCTCGATCTCTTAGTGTTTGTTGATTTTTGAGTGTTTTGATGTTTTTCTTCAAATATATAACAAACAGGTTTATAAATATATATATATATATATATATATATATATATATATATATATATATATATATATATATATATATATATATATAACAAACAGGTTTATAAAAAAAAAAAATAATAAATAAATCAGCGAAAATGATAAATGCAGGACCATAAATGTTGAATTCAGTTTGGCCGAAAATTGCATATAAGGGTAGTATTGTACTTTCGCTTCTCCAGGGGGTATGTCAAATGATGATTTGGGCTTGAGTTTATCCCTAGTCTATTTGGTGGTTAGATGTATGTAAAATAACACCATAATAAGAATAATAATAATAATAATAAAGTATTATTATTATTATTTATTACAATAATAATTGAATAAATAAATAATTCATAATTGGGCTTTAGCCAAAATTATGTTACATAGATTAGCCCAATGGGCTCAAGCGGTAATAATTGAACTGAAATAAACAAGCCCATTAAAGATTGGAACAATTAGGGTTTCAATTATTAAATTATAAATAGGGCAAAACATTTCACCACTGAATTATCTTCCATTTTCCTTCCTTCCGCCTACCTCCGACCACATAAACTCACTCTGTATTCCATCTTTTACGTTGTATGTATAATGTATGTATAATTGTGTACTAATTATAACAAGAGAAGAAAATGCATAGTACTGAGGCTCTGTGGAAAGTAAATTTCTGCGGAAGCCTATTTTTTAATTGTGCAGATATTGAAATTGGGATCCGCTTTGCAGCTTAAAATTAAATTCAATTACTCATATTTCTGCTGCCTGTAATGCCCGAATATTCTTCTTCATTTTTCTGATTTTTATTTTTTATTTTATTTTATTTATATCCTTTTTTTCTTTTTCGAAAAAACAGTAGCTTTGATTTGAATTTTGGTATTTTTCTCAATATTAAATGTTCTTCAACCTCAATGTTTGATGAAGTTTATTTATTATTTTCCCTGATGTTTAATTTTTTTTAATCAAGTTTAAAATAGTTGTGGTGTAATAATATTCATGTTTTAGTATTTTATGTCAGTAATTGAAATCTTCTTAAAATTTCTGTTCTTTTATCAAATTAAATGGAATCTTTTTTGTGTAAGTTCGGTAATATTGAGATTTAAGGCTCATTAATC